ATTTAAAAACATATACTAAAAGGGTTATGAGAAGAAGACGAAGAAGAAAAAGAAGACGAAAAACATAACAAAAGGAAACTATTACACATGTTTACCATGTAAAATTGAAAACATAGTAATAAATATTCGCTACTATACACATACAACAATAATAATAGAACTGCGAATACGTTAAATGAGCTTAGACTCTCTATATATAGACCATCGGGAAAAATCCTAAATTAAAGCAAATAACGTTTGTTTATGTAAAATTTCAAGGACTGATAAATTTAAGAGGTTAAACTATGCCACAACTAGAATAATGAAAGACCTTGCGATCACTTCATTAAATGATTAAATGAATTGCATTGAGAAAGGTTTAATTCAATGTAATTACTTTAAGTCAATGGAATGCTTTAAGCATTGCTTGTTGGCGAATTTTCAGTCGTTTAAACAAATTTTTACAAATACATTTTCTATATATGTATATATTGCACGGTATGGTACAGTCTTAATGTTTTCATTTCATTGCACTCATGCACAAAGGACTACAGTATGCTGTCTGTTTCATTGTGCTTGTTGTAAAGTTCTGCAGGTCTGTCTGTCGGTGTCTGTCGGTGTCTGTTATTGGATATTGCTGTGGCTCTCTGCAATATTCCAAAAGATACATTGTCTATTTAAACGTAGAGATTAAACTCAAAAATCGACTTAAATCGCTTAAGTTTAAAATTATGATAAAAAACTAAAAATTTAAGAAAGTCTTTAATTTGAAAAATATTGTAACATTGTACGTTAGCCTATGCGCAAAAAATTTGATTTGAAAATCAAAGCAAATTCTTATCAGATCTTTCCGAAAATGATTTTGGGCAAACCTGGCTGATAAAGTTAATGTTAATGAGAAGTTTTCAGACTTTCATGCATTGGCTTAAGGTAGCGGGTACCTAAGATTCGCCCTTCGATGTTTTATTTATTATTTTAGTCGTTTTCCTTTAATATGTTCCAGTCTGATGTTATTTACTCAAGTGTTGGTTCTGTTGGGTTAATGCCTAAGTTATAAATTGTGTTTGATCTTTATTTTTATACACATCGTACGAGTTATGTTAAATTCGTTAAATGGTTGCATCACATTGAAGTAAGAAGTATGGAAACTTCGCAAAGCATGAATATCTTTGACTGGCGTGGATTCTTTACTTGTACGCTTTAGCCGCTGTCCCGCATAGAGAGACAGTTTTTTTTTTTATTACGCTTTTCAGTTCGAATATCATCCTATCATGGTGCGCCTATCGTCATTGATGATGTATTCATTTTTCCGTGTCAAGTTCAAAAATATACACATTTGTAGTTCGATTGGAACGTGTAAATATGATTCCATAGTCAGTTTGCACATGATTTACCCAAGGGTATGGTAATGGTAAAGAAATTGTGCGATTAAATTAACGAATGAATGGCCCTTCGCCCGATTTTGTAATGTCTATCTATCTAGCTATCTATTATGTACATGCACCACAGGCGAGTATTAATGGATTCGGTTCCAACCGCGGTCTCGTTTCTTTTTCTTTTTCTTTTTTTTTTTATTTTGTTTTAAAGAAATTTCATACATTTTTAGTCATTTATTCGTAGATGCCATGTTTGTGGAGTCTACCTTATAAGAGCGTATGAGAGGATTTTGCTGTCTTTGGTTCAAGTTTATGTTGATTATTGATTTTTCTCATTTGCATGTCACTTGATTTGTGGATTAGTTGTGATGGAATACAAAGTGAACGAGCAAATGCTTGAGAAGCTACTGAATATACACAGTATGAATTGGAAGCGCGTTTCGTTAAGATTCAAAGTTTTCAAATTATTTAATAAATCTTAATATTTATAAATTTTTCTATATTACTTTTCTATCTTTAGACCGTAGGTTAGGCAAGCATGGTTATTTAAATTAGAAATTTTTCCAAGTATTCTTGCTTCGTTTTTTTTTTTTTCTTGCTTATAAAGCAGTAAAAGCAACAAGAGTCAATAACAAACAAACACTATTCGTTTATGCTTTTTTTCTTAAGTAATAAATTGAATAAACATTTGTTTCCATAATGAATAAATGGACGACGAGCTTTGAAATTCTTACGCTGACAAACGTGGCTAAGTGTTCTTCCGCAGAAATCATCTTGATCGCATTTCGTCCACCATCTATAAAAGCGAAACCATTAGATAAGATTGAGATTTTATAAAAAAATGAATTCGATCACAAATAGAATGTTATTATTATAAACCGATATATTATGGAAGAAGTAATATATTCCAGCGAATGGTAGGTATATCGACAAACACTGGGAGAAAATATATTGTAGCAGTGAGTTCTTTCTTTCTTTCGCCGGCAATACAATTTAGTTAAATTGATTTCGCTGATAAAGGCACTCAGACAACGGGCATGAAAATCAAGATTTATTTACTCTGAGTTAATCGTCACGCAATTAAAACGCAGCTATCGCTATTTTTCTTGCAAAATCGGAAATTTATAATACTTACTTACAGTTGTCTTCTTAATATTTTCGATTTTTTATTTATAAACTGTGCTCGCTCTTAAAAGCTCCAAACACCAGTCTTTATTAATCGGAGGAACGTAAGTAAATCCCAATATTTATTCGACTATCTAATGCTCCAATTGCATTATGCGTTACATAGGGTCATATTTTTTCAATCAAGTTGTACATTGATAATTTCATAAAAAGTAGAATTGCAAATTTTTGATTTTTCTCGAAATCACTTCAGTTACTTATTTCCTAACTTGAATTTTAACATTTAAAAATTTGACTTTTTTAGTCTAATCTTTGCAACATTGCAAACATGAGAAACAAGCAAACGGACGTACGGATGGACAAATTCTCAGACTAATTGAAAATGCATAATTTCTAATAGGGTTAAAAAGTGTCTGTCCATAGAATGATAAATTTAGCAAAGAATTTCTGCCATAAAAGAAGAAGACTACACTTGCAAAAATTCTTGGAGTTGGCTTCGCCTTCAGCTTTCTTAATTCAGATTTAATCTGATGAAAACTGATCACCCATCAGACATATCTACTAAATTGGATTAAATTTACATGTTTGTCGTTAGAGAGCGAGGGAGAGACATATTGCGTTGCATCAATTAATCGGGATTAGATTTGTATTAATTTACTTTTACTTTTTACTTTACTTTGTTTGTAGAATATATTCTATCATGAATAAGTAAGTTTTTTGAGGACTATGTCCGAAGAAGGGCGGAGAAAATTTCCGACCTTAAGTTCCGATCTGCAGTTTCTTTCACTCGATGCTTTTAAAAAATCCGAATTCGCTATTAGATAAAAATATTATTCAGCATAAAACATTTTCATTAAAAAAATTGAAAAGTCATTCATTTACTTATTTATTTATTTATTTATTTAATTTTTTTTTTGCCGTGTAAGAAAGAAGTACTTCTCCGCTAACCAGTTAATTCTCCAGCCATGATGATTGAGAAATCAAAATTACCTGCCTGTTGCTAAGGTGTGTGTTATTGATTTCATTTACAAACACTTTTATGTTTTGTGAGAGTAAAACAATTAAAATGGACGTAAACGTGATCGTTACGTGTTTGTTTGCTAAAGAAACAACTCGAAGGCGTGGTCTTGCACAAGCGTTAACCGAAAGAGATAGAAACTATATATAGACGAATATGAAGTTTAGACATTCCATAAGTGATCGGAAAAATCAAAAGAGTTAAGCAAGCGTTGCAAGCATGAGGGCAGTTTTTAATGTGCAGTTTGCAAGCTACGCTAATAACGTATAAACGGTTGAGAAAGACGAAACGTAAGAAAAAAAAAAAAAAAAAGAAAGAAAAGCAAAAAAGAGAATAAAAAAAAAAGCAAACGAATTTCAAGATAAGGCAGCTACGCTGATGGCTAAGCAAATTATCATCAATCATTAGTTACGCGGTATGCAAACGGTTTTGATAACGCATTATTTTGAATTAGAAAAATATTGTTTTTCATGTAAGACAAAAAAAAAAAAAAAATGTCCTGAAAAACTTTCATGCTATTAATAAGCGAGAGAATCAAAAAAAAAAAGAAAGCGCAAAAGAAAAAAGAAGTGATGTTACATAAAAATTAGTGATACATTACAGCAAATAAATAAATAAATAATTAAAAAGAAACAGACAGTGCAAATCAGATAACACGGCTCTCTTTCTTAAGAGACAATAAATTTCGATTAATGGTTTGTTTTGAAAAGACAAAAATTGACAAACTTTTTCTATAAATAATAAGTTATGACAAAAATTCCGTTGCCGTCTTATCATTGACTGATGATATTCACATCATCGTTAAAACACACATCTGTTCGTACGCACATAAACACGCATACGTTCACGGGCACACACGCTTGACAAATGGATACTAATTAATTACAGTTTGTGCAAAACTTTAGTACAAAAAACTGAGCGACACCACCGGTATCATCAGCACACATTACCATTAGTATAAGTGCAACATCGGCATTAAACATTAATCACAATAATAATAATAATAATAATAATAATAACAATCTGTGAGAAAATGGCATAAAATGCGTTACCGAAAGTGTTGATTAACGGGCGTATATTAATAACCGGTAATTTAACGATTTAACGGAGGGTAACCTGTGAAATTCTCAAATTATCGTTAAGCAGCAAATATCTGTTGTACATATTTGCGGTTATATTTGGCATTTATGACATTAACAAGTTCCGTTTCCGTTTGCTGTTGCTGTTGCTGTTGCCGTTGCTTCTTTGTGAACTTAAACATTATATGTATGGCGCGTGACACATTTGACATGCAAGTGTTAAAAGTGTTTATAGGGCAACACTAAACAATACAATAAACAGTTCGACGTGCTGTCTTGCAGTAGCGAATAAAAATCTTTTTTATATCTAAAGTGCACAGTTTATTTTTATTTTTTATTTATTTATTTATATATATATATATGGATATATTTTTTTTGTTTTATCAACGGATCGTTTTAATTTTAATTTTATATTTGTAAAAAATAAGAAAAAAAAAATTGCTTTTAAAAACACATAACTCAACGTAAAACCTATGAAGTGAAGGATTGATTAACTAAAATCATATATAATTTCGTTGCGGCACTGTGTGCGTTCGAAATTACTGAAGACGCGTAAAGATGCGTAAGTTATACTTAAAATGATTTGGAAATTATTTTCAAGCATTTGCTAATCGAATTAGACTCATTCGCCATCGTACTGCCTACCTTTGACCCTCACCCACACACTACATTCACTTTTGTTGCTTATGCTGGTTGTGCTTCATTATTTACTAATATTAAAATAAAAAGAATTAAGCGACAAACTGGAAAAACGGTCAATGTATAGATTAGATGTTCATTATCTTGGATTTTGTATATATATTGTAATATATTTGTATACATACTGTCTGACTGATAAAGTCCTTCTGCTTCGTTGTTCTAGCAAATTTATATAGAATTTTTTGAATTTTGGATGCAAGCTACGGCAACACAGGCTGTTATGTTATTATTATTATACTACACTATCACTGTTTATTTAATCTTTCCCTCCATATGTTATAGCCAAATATACGATCAACAGCTTAATAATGTTCCAATTCCGTATTACTGTGCGATTTCGGTAGAGTCCATCTCTAATTCAGTCGGTTTATCTGCCTGTTGACTGGCACGCAAGGGTCAAACGATCTGCTGAGGAAAGCGCCTGTAATAAACAGAAAAAAAAAGAAAAAAAAATTATAACAGTCCGTCACTACAATACTGAAATTGTTCATCGTTCAGTTCAGAAATGCTTACAGTCACTTAAACGATGTCCGCTATATATGTAACACGATGTGACGGTCAGAAAGAAGCGGGGGAGAGTGAAAGTTTTTTGCATTAACTTGATATTGAAAGTGGTAAAAAGAAAAATACAAAAAATACAAAAAAAAAAAAGAAATTTCGTAAATAAATTTAAGTCGGCCCAAATGGCAACAAAATCTCGATTAACAACTGGTCGTGCGTTCAATTCTGAAGTATGATATAGTTTTTAATAAAGTCGACGGCCTTAGATGGTGGTAGTGCTTTAAGACTTTAGTCTTAGAGCTTGCTTCTGTAATCAAACTAATTACAATGATAATAATTATTATTTGCACAACGAACTTTTTAATATGTATATGAATGTATATATTAAATTAAAATAATCAGAAAAATTACAGAATAATATTTCCATTTCTAAACATTTCTTATATAAATAAAATACTTAGCAAAGATGTTTGAAAAAATGCTTAAAAAAGTTTTTTTTTTTCGAAAGTTGTTACTGCCCATGAAAAATGATGTACATAGGCAGTTAGCGCCGAGCAGCCAATGTGTGTGTGTGTGTGACAACATACGTCGTGATCGCTCATTAGGCATAAGAGAAAACAACACGTTTCTTTATCACAGTTTTTGTGACTTTGCACCAAATTTGAACTTCCGAAGCGATGTACAATCAAAATAAAACTCGCGGATAGAAATTTGATTATAAAACAAGTTCGGCAAAGCAAAAACAATGCCCAGAACTAGTAACGTCTCTGTTATATTATACGGAATACGAATGGAAACGTATGCATCCATCATACAAATCATTTCAAAAAGGGTTTTTTGGGCGTGCCAAAAGGTGTTTCCCCCTTGGAAAGATTTAAATCAATTTTCAAGCCGATATCTGCCGCAAATTGTAATTTTTTCATCAAAATATATTACAATTTTCGATTGTTTTTTTCAAGATTCATTTAGGACTTTACTTAGCTTGCACACGCCATGTTCAGTTTGAGCTTACTAACAGCGCTTGTTTGATTTCGAGTCGAGTTGTTGATGCGCACTTTTGAGTGTCACCAACAACGGAATAATATCGACAAATTTTTCTGTATGAATCCAAGAGTAAGAAGGAAATAAACTACGCTCAATTTGACCCGCATCAAGAATGTCTACTTTTTAAGGTCCTTGGTGCGCAATTCTGCCGATCGAGAAATCATTTTTACATATTTACATATTTTTGCAATAATGCGGGCTTTGAGAGCTTTGCTTTCGTCGAAAATACGTCGATAATTTCAATGTTTACAAAACGTAAATGAAACCCTTCGCCCAAGTACGGAATTATATTCATTTTGTCAAGAGTGTTTGCAAAATTCTTAATCGCCTTCAAATTTTGAATCAATTTAAGAATGCTCGTCTGTCTATCTATCCGTCTGCGCAAACAGTCCGCAGTGTGCGTCCACAAGTGTGAAGTAATTGAATTCGTATTTGGCAGAAAATTGGAAGCTTTTCCACGCACGTTTTGCACTGAAAATGCGACAAGGCGTTCAAGAGACCCATTCGCAAGACAACTTAAGCTAAGAATAGCTTCGCCTTTAAAAGCAAATGTATAAGGTTTCGGTGCGTAACTCATGCACTACAATAGTAAAATATGTCCTACAATAGTGAAATACAGTGTCTGTACGAATGCGGAAAAAATTGGGGATGCCCGCCCGTCTTAGGAAGAGGATATTGTTTTCCTCCTTCAACTCTTGAATTTAATAAACGGATAGAGAAACTGGTATAGAGAAATCCGCTTAGAGCTTCGCGCTTATTGCTTTGTGAAGTCTTAATTTACACTTACTTGTACTTTGAAGTAATCGAAACGGAAAGGTTTTTCTAATCATATATTAGAAGCGGGGAAAAAATATCGAGGATGTTTTTTGTTTTTTGTTTTTTTTTTTTTTTTTAAATATTTTAATACGCACTCAATTAAACCTATGTCTGACGACACAGAGAAATCTTGTGCGAGAATAGCTGAATGATTTTTTATTTGTTACATTCTCGCTGAAGAGTTAATGAGTCTTACAAGTCTGAGAGAGAGAAATCATAAAAGCAATACACATTTCGTATAAATATGAGTTTCGTTTTAAATATAACCGAGTCATTTATGATTAACTTTAACATAACATATTAACCACAAATCAGAAATGATAATATATACTGCGTTCAATCTAACTGCCACAAACAAAGTTTCGAAATAGGTTTTAAAATTCGTACCGACGATTTTTATTTATTATCGGTGTAGTGCATACATCAAACTAAAATACATGAAAATATTAAATTCGTATCGGAGTTCGTTTTACGTGGGCGAACTACTTAAAGGTTTCTTAGCTTGGAAAGTGGTCCTCCATTGGCACGCTTTCTTTATGTGACATTGAAATTTTCATGTTCTTCGAAATTGAGTCAATAAGCGAACCAATGCTAAGATTAGAATTAGAACATTACAAGTTTTATTACGAAAATATGAAGAGAAATCTTGGTACTAGAAAAATTTGGTATTAATTGGCACGAAATTAACTCGACGTACGTATCGTAAAAAGCGACGTACGTATCCCAATTGTTCATATTTATGCGAACATATATTTCGGTATAATGCTGGTTTATCGAAAAATAAACAAAAGAGTTGAAGAATTGAATAAAAATGATAAATGCAAATATATATAATAAACAATTCAACGCATCATGTTATGTTTGCAAATCCAAAAAAAAAAAAATTACCATCGTTACTTGTTATGCAATGTGTGTTGCTTCTTTACTTCTATTTTTTGATATATTTGTTTATAAGGTATTTTAAAACTAAATACTGTATGTACTGTCTACACTATACGCGCGCGCATACCCTATTATTACTATTATAATATCTTTTTGGGTTATTAATATCTTAAGCACCACGAAAATTGGCCAAATTGTAGCCACCTTTATGGTGGACCCTCGTCACTTTGGTGAAAATTGTTAGAGTTTACACCTTCTGCCCGTGTGTTGCTGATCTTACGCCTTCACATTTATATTTAGTTGACAAACCTAAAATTTTTCTTAGTTAATATGACAAATACAATTATATTACGCGCTTTCTCCATCAACAAGAAATCTGAAATTTCATGCCAAAGGTAGTCGCAAATGAGATACATTAAGAGCTCTTTGAATGAAATTATATCCGATGCAGAGAATATGTCAAATTTGTCATATGTGGAGACTACGAATAGCAAGTGCATACATTCTTATATAACATTGAAATCAATATAATCGAGTCTATGGACTTGATCATCCATCTGATTGCTAATCTATTCAAACTATGATCACGATCTAGGAAGGAATCCGTTTTCTCCTCCGTTAATTTAAATTAAAAAAAAACATTAACTAAAATTGGCGCTTGAATCGTGCCATTAATAGCAAATAATATTTTTTTCATTAAATTATTACTTTGCAATTTTGTTCCCCGACAATAAAGAATCAACTATAAGTCTTAACGGAATGATTCCGAGGAAGAGTTCAAAACATTACAGTCGCCAAATCGTTGATTCGACATCACTTCGCTTAAAGCAGTTAGTTAGTTATTCATAATTGTTTATAATTTTTTTCATATAATGATTTTCAAAATAAGACCTTATACGGGGGGTGGTCGCCAAAGTTGTCAGAACCGGTCCACTATCAACAGCAGCAAAATTGCGATCCGCAGCTTGAGCATAAAATTATATATGAACTTGCATCGCACATCGGACAAACGGGCAGACAATAAAAGGGCTTACAATAAAAATTGAGTCCATCTCAAATCTTTCTGCGTATTGCATACACCCACTCAAACTTTACGCAAGCTATAAAGCAAGTGGTCTAAGGTATAACCGGGCTATCTGTATATTTTTTTTTTATTAGATTTTGACATGTATTAGTTTGCAGTTGCAGTTGCTATCAATTTTCGAGAAGGCTTTAAAACGTAATAAAAATTGTAGTTTCTGATCACACCTTGCTTTGCTCTGAGAGTTTTACAAGAGAAAAAATAATGAGACTAACAGTTTGGTCTGATTTTTCGCTTTCAAGCAACTAAAAAATTAATAATTTTTTTTCATTTTATTTTTATTATATTGTAAAGTAAAAAAAAGGCTCCTGTAATTTTATGTTTCTATCCAACACTTATTTGAAATTTAGGTGGTATCAGTGAATCTTGATTTTTAGGTTAAGGAAGGTTTTATTTATAATTTTTAGCAAAATCTTCTTCGCACACGGTTCACACAAAATCATATATACTAGGTGCTTGCATGTATGTACTTTGATAATTTTTTCATATGAAAACGATATTCATTGAGAAAGATCGGCACAATATCCGTTAATCAAAATATTTATACACGTGAAAAAGGAACGAAATTCATTGAGCAGCGATCGAGCCATTTTTGCACTTCTTAACTATTTCGAAACCGCACTCCAGCTACACCATGCTGCTCCCATCTGCTGTCTGAATAAGTGGTAATAAGAAGGTGCTTTGTTTGGCAAGTACGCTGAGTGCGGCAGCACTTCCCATTCACAACTCTTGCAACGTCTGGCGGCGCGTTGTCATGCAAGAGGATGACTTTGCGTCTGTTAACTGCTATTGCTGTCTTTTTTTGCAACAACACTTTGTTCAACTTGTTCAATTGACGTCGGTAGACATCTGCAATGACAGTTTCATTGGCTTTTAACCGCTCGTAATACACTACATGTTACTGCACTGATCCCACTGATGTTGCGCTTCGGTGTCGATGTGTGTGGCTCTGCTAGACTAACTCATGAATATTTGCATTTGGGACTGTCGTAGCAGGTTTACGTTCCATCGTCAGTCACAATGCGCCAAAGAAAACTTTCCTTTTTTTGCCCGGCAAGCAATGAAACCACACTGTTGAAACGGTTCGATGTGTCATTTTCAGTCAATTAGTGCGGCAAGCATTTTGCCTCCTTTTGGAGCTTATACGTCTAGAAAAAGTCGATTCGTCAATTGCTAAGATTTTCGGCAGTGCTTTGAGAGTTTACGCGGAGTTTTTCTGGGTTTTCCAACTAGTCTTGCATTCCATTGTCTTCGAACTTCTTTGATCCTCCATGACATTGTTTGTCATTGACATGCAAATCAAACTTTTAAACCGTTGAAGTTAAAACCGATAATTGGGATACCTCTAAAAGTGTTTGATGGGTTTCGGCAGCGGATTTCTTCAAATCGAACAACAAAAACGTTGAAAATGTAATTTTAAGCTTTCCATGATTAGTGTCTTTATGCACTCAATAAGTCAATAATACTAAGTAGAAAATGATTACTTTATGTAGTAAAATGTTACAGTCACCGACTTTAACCGTTGTGTACACTGATACTTCGCATTACTTTATCATTTTCGCCTTTCACTGCTTTCGTAGTTTTGTTCGTTCGAATATTACGAGTCAACTCTCTTGAGTTTATCTCTCGCAAATATTCCCCTTATATATATATATATATATCTTTCCTACTTTTATCAAAATAATTCTTGAAAATAAAATCGCTTAGCTCCTATACATGCACTTGTCATTCAATCTGCTTAATGTCGTAAACGGAACTTGATGCTATTGTGTTATCCATCCAGGAATGAATATTTAAAAAATGCCGGGCAAAGTTCTTTATTTAATTTATTGATGAACGAAGTTCGTTCCTTTAATTTGCGTAATTGAACAACGTTCAAATATTATGCAGCTAAGTTAGATGCCATAACTAAATTGTGGCTAAATTTTCATTTTTTTTCGACAATAAAATACCGGAAAATGTAGAGATAGTAAAACGGTGATTCTAGATAAATGAAAGAAAAGCACAATAATTACTTCTCCGAACGAAACTATTTGTAATAAATTTTTAAAGTAAAATAATCATAAATAAAAGAAATTTCGTGAATTCAATATTTTTTAAAATGGTTCCTTAAAAAGTTCTAATCTAATAAGATGCGATTGTAACTTGATGTGTTCTTTGCATAAATACATAAGGGAAAAATATAAATTAATTTCTAATATATATACGTATAACGTATAACGTATAACTTTTTAATAAAACAGATATTTGCATTCTTGGTCTCGGGTTTGGCTTGCGTACATCTATATATTTCGCATTAAATGTCCAACTTTTTGGGCTTTCGTCATCGCTTCTCCTGCGTAACGGGTTTAGATAGATCGAATTTTTTTACACGAATATGCATCGTTTGCTCCTTTTTATTGAAAGTAGGCATCTTCCGCCTGCACATCGATCATTTTAAAATTAAAAAATGTTTGAATTATTCCCTACATTACAGATCAAATTTTATATGCTTCATAGGGTTACTTAATAAATGTAATTTTACAAGTCCTCTCTTATTTCGTGTATTATCGATTAGGCCGTAATGCTCTTACGATTTGATTGCTTGCTAGAATATCTTGTCTAAGTGAGTATTTGTTCTCTTCTCAAAATCTTGTTTAAAAATTGTTCTTATTTCTTTTTTTAACAAATGTATAACATTTTAATCAAGAAATTGAGAAACTAATAAAAGTAGAATCCAGCATAACAAACATTTTTTTTTTTTTTTTGATGGATGTATGCATACTTTGGCTTATGACCTTTAAAAACAAAAATTCAGAGATTTTACTTAGCTACTATTTTGGTATAACAGAATATATCAGAGCTATATCGAACGCATTATTTAGACATTTTGATGCTGCCTGCCGTACACACAATATATATTTTTATATTTGCCCGGATTGTAAAACACCAAAGGATTCCCTCAAATTTATGACGGCCGGAGAACATTTTGCTCACTCATTTTCCAGACGATAGGAACAACATCGTGTGGGATGTTATTTTTCTGAGACTGCTATTGTTTGTTGTTTGTATGCATGCCGTTGTCTGTCCTCGCATGCATAAGCATACTTAAAATGTGCAATATAGTATTAAAACGCCGACACACAACATGAGTAATACGTGAAATTAAGAAAAAAAAAAATATTTTAATAGAAAGAGAGAAAAAAGAAATACTGCCGCCGATTTATAGTATCATTCATCTTAATATAGAAAGCGGTCTCTTTTTTAGCCTTCAAATTCACTCAGAATCTGCCTAAGATAGTGCGTCGCGAACAAGTCTAAGCAGGGACGGCGGAGGTTCGTATCAGTTATGTATGTGTATCTAACATTTAAAATACCATATATCAGGATGTTTATATTGTCCCTTGTAAATTAATAAAATTATGAACGTTTTTACAATAACAATCACCTTTAATGAATTGTTATGAAGTGTGTGAGTAAAAGTTTTAATCACGCATTTCGTTTTGCGTACGCATTCAAATGTCGTGGTATATGGGAACGAGCTTTTTGCTTACGTCTTTTGATTCATTGTAAATGAAATTTTTGTTTTCATTCTGCTTAGCTGATCTGCGCTGATACCCTACATAATCACCAACATATACTTGCGGAATGATATTCTACACTATTCTGTCGGTTTAAATTACTCTTTTTTGTTTTGTTTTTTGTTATTATATATTTATTTACCTGTAGTAGATTACCTGATGAGTTTTAAAAATATAAGATTTTCAATTAAAAAATGCATTGTGAAAAGAAAAAAGAGTAACAATTGCAATTAATAAATTATAGTATTAGTATTTATCGTAATTACATATACATTTACATATTTATTTATGTTACAGAAGAAATCTCCACTTCTCATATATTATCGGCTATAGATCCCCATGCAGCTGCTAATGGCTCTGGCAATGAAACCCATCACAGTCCGCAGCGCTTGCGCGACGACATTTTAAATAGCTCGGCCAAGTTGACAGGCAGCCGTAACAGTCCCAATGTTATGGAACGTAATCTGCATGTAACCTTAGATGAGCGCGAGTTATGGTTGCGCTTTCAAAATCTTACCAATGAAATGATTGTAACTAAAAATGGTCGGTAAGTATGTCTTTGAATGTGTATGCGTGTGTTCATGTGTGCACTTGCAAAGGTGTTAAATGTTTACAAAGTTTAGAACGTTTTGTTTGCAAATTACTTTTGAAGGCTGCTTTTTGTTTTCTTGTTTTCTTTTCTTTTTTTATTTTTATTTTTTTTTCTTTCTTTCTTTCTTTTTTAATTTTAAAGAAAAAGAAAAAGGAAAACTTTTGAATGCCTTAATAAGATTCTAACGTTTTGTAAATGCATCCAAAATAAAACAAAAATAACAAAACTTTTGTAAATGATTTTGTTTTTTATTCCGTGTTTAATATAAAAGTGTTAATTGATATAGTCATGCAACAAGCAATATTTTTAAAAATTATATATAAAAAACAAAAAAAATTAAAAAATTATTGCTAAACTAATTCTTTTGATGATGTTCTCGTTTAAGTCGCATGTTCCCAGTAGTGAAAATTAGCGCATCTGGGCTAGATCCGGCCGCCATGTATACCGTCTTGTTGGAATTCGTGCAAGTTGATACTCATCGCTGGAAATATGTGAATGGGGAATGGGTACCGGGTGGTAAGGCAGAAGTGCCGCCATCAAATCCGATTTATGTGCATCCCGAGTCTCCCAATTTCGGCGCACATTGGATGAAGGAGCCCATATCCTTTGCCAAAGTTAAATTGACCAATAAAACGAACGGCAACGGTCAGGTATGGTGGCGTGACTTCAATACCCTCGGAAATATTTTCGGATTCAATATTATTTTGTAGATTATGTTAAATTCATTGCATAAATATGAACCACGCGTGCACCTGGTTAGAGTAGGCTCAGAGCAACGACATGTGGTAACCTATCCATTTCCTGAGACACAGTTTATAGCTGTAACCGCTTATCAAAATGAGGAAGTGACCTCATTGAAAATCAAATATAATCCCTTCGCTAAAGCTTTTTTAGATGCTAAGGTAAAGCGTTATCTATTCGGAGCTGACTGACAATAATTAATAATAATGGATAAATTCCTTTTCAAGGAACGTCCTGACACTTTATACTCTCATGATGCTCACTATGGCTGGCTAATACCACCACCTTCTCATTACAACGCAGCAACAGTAAATTCTTCCAGCGCGGCAACTTTATCATTGAGTAACACCCCACTCGCTCCGGGTGCTTGTGATCGTTACGGCAGAGCATTGCCCAGCAGATCAAGTTTATCGACCAGGCCTGCACCATATACCAGACCGCGTATAATAACTGGGTCCGGCGCAGGTTCAAATGGCAGCACGGGTAATGCTTCGCCACCGCAGCTCCCCTCAGCACCGCAAACACCCAACAACTTACAACAATCAAGCACAACTTTAAACAATTCTTCGCCAAACAGCTTCTCTAGTTCCTATAGTCAATCGAGTTTTATACCGGTCGAGCCTAGTTCTTCTACCACCGTGTACACATATCCTGGATCCTGGCAAAGCAATGGCAACTATTGGAGTTCGTCAACAGTATCGGCTGGACCAATGCCAACCAACACTGCCAGGGTTATATGTAAATGCCAAGTTGCTAATGTAAAATGAGTGAAATAATCATTTGATTAATTCGTTAATTTTTAGCCTCGCATAACTCTCCCTCGCCTATTAACAATAGTTCCCCCACGTATACGACACCCTCGCCAGGTTACACATTGCACCATCTGACCGCACCCCACAACCACCAGTACAGTGAATCTGTGCAGTCTATACAGACTACACATGCAGCTGATATGTATCAAAGCGCCGCTACAAGTTTATCTGCTCAAACTTATGCAACCCCTCCTGCTAGCCACCATCAAGTTTATCATCCTACACCTACTTCCCCTAATTCTCATCAACTTTACACTAATGTGTTAAGCGGTCCAACCCTTGGCTATTCTAGCGCTTCCTGGCACAACGGCACCGCCGCAGAATATGGTTTATATCAAAACGCCGCTACTGCTTACGCCTATCAACCGGAATATATACCTTTAGTCTCAGAAATCGGGTAAGCTTTTGATATCCTTAACGGGGGTCATACAACATGAAATTAGAAAAAAGGTCTTCAACTAATTGACGGTTTAGTTAGCAATGATTTTTTTATTTAATTTCTCTTCTAACGAATTACACAACATCTTGACCACTTGATTTCGTCTCGTCTCCGTGCAGTTCCTATGCTCCTCATCCTTTGGAACCCGTGGAAATTGCCAAAACTGAACTGGATAATAACAATAGCGTTTTATATAGAAATTCCGATGAAGCTTCAACTGTTTTAACATTGGAATGTTCCCACCTCAAGGCAGATACTTCAATCAATGTTACGGATGACACTAATCCGACGCAAATGCGTACATCACATGCTGCGGAGACAGTAATACCGGCCACTGGTAGTGCGGCCATTACACCCTTAGAAAGCACTAGCAATTGGACTTCGTTAACAACGACTCAAAATTCCCTGCACTAAAAGCAGATAATGGAAATAATTTAAATAAAGAAACCAATAAACATACTAAAGGTGTTCAGTTTCCTTAACAACATAAAAGCAAACGAAAAAAATCTCCGATATATATTTGTATTTAAGTCAATCGTTAACAATTTCAAACGCTGATATCGCAGATATGTTGCGCATGATTTGAAAAATCACTTGAAATTTATATTTATTGCAGGTACATGGTAAACAATTGATGCCGAGTTTATCTTGTTTAGTGTTTAGAAGGTAAATTTGTTAAAGATATGAAATATGTTATGAAATGGCCACACACATACATATATAGAAAATATTTAACTTTTCATTAAGTTGACTGGGGCTGCACATAAGCGAATAAAAATCTATGAGTAAACTGAAAATAATTTTTCATCTGAAAAAGTTTTAAAGCCGCACCAGTTAGCATATGCGTGGCACAAACTATGGAAAGAAATTCAAGTGCGTATATGTTTTTTGCGGGAAAACCCTTGAAGCCCACAAACCGAACCAAAGCCCTGATACGTTGTAGTTATATGATATTCGCGTCGTAAGAATTATTAATTTTTGTTTTGATCTAGGCACAGTTGCCCGCTCTGAAAATTACAAGTAATAATATTTTCACCAAACATAGAAATTTTGTAACGACGGTGCTATGAGTTGCATGACGGTCTAAAAGTTGCGAAAGATCATTCGACCAGGCAGACGACTGGTAGATTGCCTCCATCAACATAAGCTAGTTTGAACATCTTCATCACTACATAAAAAAGTAATTCCTACTAAAACGTTGGTGACTGGTTGGGAATGTAGGCAAGTATTAATTAAAGATACTTTTCGTTAGTTTGGCGAATGAGGTCAATAGTCGATTGGTTACGACTGTTAATCGTCGGAAGTGCAATTACGAGCGATCAAGTAATACTTTGCGCTATAGAATTTGTCTACTAAATTGTGGGTTGCAAAGCTTAAGCTATAATTTAGAGAGTACTAAGGCTGGCATGCTTCGGCTGAAATGAATTCAAACAAGTTGTGCTTTACGAAGAAGTGCTTTGTCTTGTTGTCTAGAATCCAAAAGTATTGGCTATAGTCATGTTTACTTCATCCGAATAGTTGTGATTACGAATCAATCAGAGCTTGAGCCGGCGTTTAGAAGCTTACATAGTTTTAGAAATTTAGCGATTTTTCAAGAAATTCCTTTTTATAATAACTACCGTAAGAGTTGCGTTTCCTTAATTAAGGTAAACTGATATTTTTAGCTATAATTGTCATGCGACTGACTTAGGGATGTGAGTATATTCGCACGGTTATCAATGCACTTCGATTGCTTTTCGTGAAACATGTCTCCAACATGAAGTTTTCTCCCATTCCGATCACATTTCTTTTTAATTTTTCTGCCCGGCCTTGTTAGACGTTGCCCGTGCACGGAGATATTTTGTTGGATCGTAGACGTCAAGTAGTAATCGTATCGCCGAAAACGCCAGCGAAATTGTCATACATTCTCATTTCAGCATTGGATGCAACATTGTGAGTCAATTGAATTTGTATTCGACTTAAGAAGAAGATATTTTTGGGTACCGAAGTGCAAGATGAAGTTACCAAATGTCCAAAGTATTTTCTTTACTGAGACTGGTTCAACTGTTCAGTAAAGGCCATTATTGAATGAACGTTCAAAACAAATTTATACGAAATTTAAATATTTGTTAAGAGTTGTGGTTTTTTTTTTCAAATCACGCCCATTCTCTCTCAAATTTATTTGCAACTATTGATAATATTCTCTGTTAAATTAATATGTAAAATATTTGCCCGTCGAATGCGAGCACTTAAGACGGATGTATGTGACTAAATCTATTTAAAATATTATTTTGAGATCAAGGGAATATATATAGGTATGTGCAAATGTATTGTGATGTTACAAATGAAATGAAAAACTTAATATGTTAATGCACGATATAGTTGAGTTCTATGCATATTCTGGAATGATATTCCAATTCGTTGACATAGTTTTGCGATATTGATTTTCACTGTGAGAATTGAGAGAATGCTTGTGCTTCGGCTTACATAACATTTAATCTAGACATGTTTTTTTCTTTTATACTCACCTCTGTAAGATGGCGATACATTCATTTTGTGTTTTCTTTTCTTTTTTTTTTTTTTTCATAATATATGTAGCATCCAAAAGGAAGCTTCAGAGACCACATAACGTATATATATATATATATATATACATGTTGTGGATCATCGTGAAATTGTGAATTGATTTAATCATATCTGTCCGTCTGTGTGTATGTGTGGTGTTCGTTATTGACACTCCCCTGGTCGCAAAACTCAAAGTATCCACTTCAAATTTGCTAACAATATTGGAAGTTTTTGCACGCAAGTTGGTATAAATCGCAACTATTGGCCAGAGTAAAACCCAACAGTAGACCATAAACTGAATGCGACTACGTTTTTCTTAACAAAAATTTATGGGTTTTTGCTCGTTGCTCGCAAATTATTAAAATTAGAAGAATGAAATTTTCGATGTTTAATTTACGAAGCACTCTATCCTTTAAGTGCAAAATTAATTAAATTTTTTTTTTTCTCTTTTTTTTGCGGTTTTACGCTTGTTTATCGAAAGGCAAACAAGACAGAATGTTTAAAATTATTTTGTACATTCTCACGCATATGAGGATATATTATCTGCCTAAAATAAAATTAATTCTAAAATGAATATGATACGGACCGCGACCTGGTTGATTAATTTTTTCTTAATAATACCAACGATATGAGTATCAAAAAAAAAGAGCTTGGAGAGTAAAATGCGAAAAACATAGTGTTGGCTATGCAAGATTCGGCTCCTGCCGAATATATTTTTCTTACGTGTTTTCTTTTCATTCATTTTAGATTTTTCTTTCTTATGCATTTTTTTATTTATTCTCTTTTTTGAATTTAGTCGTTTGAAAATATCTATTTATTTATACACTTTTACATGTGTACATGTATATGTTTGTATATACATTTACACGTATTTTAACAATTAGCCCTATATGCGTATTAAAATCAGTTTTATGTTTCATTTTCTTATACAACTTAACATATTGTACATAAAAATGTATATAGTGTATATATGTGTGTGTGTACACAAATACCATCTGCATGTATGCATACGGCTTGTAAAGATAAATATTTGTATTGTGTTTGTGTAACCATTTAAAAGTATTCGCTATATTTTAATTTTTGCCAACCGAGACGTTGTCTGTTCAACTGCTTAAAGCTATTCGGAAGACCGTACGAGAGGTAAGTGAACAAGCCTGCAGATGAATGAGATGAAAATATTTGAAACGAGTAAGTATGTATTGACAGATATGTCCAGTAAACACATAAACAAAAATTATGAAACATTTTATTAAAATACAATGCAAGAGCATGCACTTGAATATGTTGTTAATACTTTATGTAATTCACGAACTAATACCTATAATACTATATGCGTAAATTTATTTGAATACTATAAGTGATACGGTTTATTTTGGATCGGCTTTAAAGCCTTACGGGCCTCCAATAAGGTCTCAACCGATTTTGAATTATAACTGAGATTGTCTTCTGATTTGAAGGCTGTTGTCGCAAATAGTATTCCCCCATCAGAGTCTTCGATTTTAATGGCAGAAATTGAATTTGGTCTCTTAGGTTCCGGCGGTAAGAGGCGTTGAGTACGATGCGAAGGACCACGTTTTAGTAAAGCTTCTAACTTAACCTTAAACGGGACTTCCGCATTACCTCCGGACCCATTTGTTACTTTTTGTTTGTCTTTATGTCCATCAAGTTCACTACTTTTCAGGATGACTGCTAAATCTGCTCTGTCTTTAATACTTCTCAAAGTAGTCATAGTACTATATAGAACTGGATCAAATTTTGGTGCTTTAGGTACTTGGATATTATTTTGCGAATTCATCCTTAAAGGGACACCACGAGTTTCTATTGCCTTCATTAGAGCATTTCTGACATCCGCTTCGCTTTTGGAGTACTGTAGTTTGGTTAACGAATTCTTACCTGGTCTTTCTATATCGTATTCCTTATTGTCTTTGATAAATTTCGATTCTACAGGTTTTATAATAAGTCGACTAAGTCTATTTTTGAAATCTTCCGAGTGCAAAGGACTGGTCACCGATTTTATAGATTCTCGAGAGACTTGACAAGTTATGAAGTGATCTTCATTTTTTCTATCATTTATTTCTCGATTTTGCAAAATTTTATTGAGTCTTGAACTTTTCAAGATATCTTCTACTAATTGTTCAGCTTGTAAACGCCTTTCGTTTAAGCTCTCTTCGTTCGTTGAATTATCATGTGAACTAAATGAACGTTCGCTATGTCGCTCGTAAATTTCTCCTGAGTCGTGCTCTGACGTATCGCTGCTGCTGTGTACCGTGGCTACAGTAGTACTCTTTGTAACAGTGGGTATCATTGACGAGTCGATACTTTCATTACGTTGACTGAAAGCTTCTTTTCTATTCAAATGGGTGGCAATTTCTCTTCCGCCCTCCTCTTCTAATTGCAAAACGTCGTCTAAAAACGCCATAACTGAATTTTCCTCAGCTGTGGTATCAGTATGTGCAGGAAGGGATACAACTTTGGTAGACTCATCGTTTGCGGGCTCCTCACTAACGTAGAATAATTTGCCATTTGAGTGCTTCATTTCCTTTAGTTCGGCAGCTACGTCCCTTATATTTATGATTTCATCTAAATTTTTGATACTTTTTTCGTTTTCCTGTTGCCAACCACTGTTGCAATATATGTTACAATCTGTAGATGATAACGATTTTTCTACATACTTCACTTGGACTAGTGTGGATTTCTTTATTAACTCTTCAAATTGCTTTCTATCGGGATGTCGCTTGGCTGGATTTTTAATATCATTCATGCACCAACACGCTACAAACATAGGTAAACCTAATGCATGCACGCAACATATGAACACAAACAGTACATGCAGTTAGTGAGAAACATTTCAAGATGTCAGTGTAAATATTTAATTAAAATCATGCATAATATTCTTTTACCTATAGCCATCCAGATACCAAAACGTATCCAAGTCATTGTGTCCAATTGTAGCATAAGATAGATGTTAATAAATATGCTTATGGCCGGTACTATGGGCACAAAAGGAACTCTAAATAAGGCACGATTTGGAATTTCACAAGGTTGCAGGCATATAAAAATTAATACCAGAATTATGAGTGACAGTAAGACTGAAAGTGAAATTAAAATCCAAGGCTCCCGATTGCGCAGAGCATCATACGATTGCATGAATATCAAACCAATACCCATAGATAGTAAACCTAAAAAAAAATAATTAACGTTGCTAACGATGTGATAACATAATTTCTTGCTCTTTACGTTACACATACAAAATAATGTTGTTAAGACGCCCACTATACGGGTGGATAATTTAGTTGGTATTTCTAGTCTGCGAGAATTAAAAAGTTGTTTCACTACGCAAATAAAAGTAATGCGTTCGCCTTTGCTGGTAAGTAAAGAGCTCTCCGAATGGCTATAACCGCTTAGACCATTGAAACCATTGCTGAGATTGTTGCGCGATATGCTCCCGTTACTGTTATCTCTCCCCCGCCTTCTCTCTTCCGGTATTTGTTGATAGCCATTATTTTGAATACGGCCTGTGCAATTGGAATTATCCATGTATCGCAATATTGTTATGGATACAGCCACCATACTGTATGCAAGCAAAGTACCAATCGAAAGCAAATTCACTAATTGAGCCAAATCGAATAAGCCGGCAATTAGAGCTAAAATTTCAAATACGTTAAAATGTTATTTTATCATTTAATCTACATAATCTACATAAACGTTACCTGTTAAGAAGGCGGCAATAATTGACCCTATTACCGGTACTTTATATTTAGGATGTATTTTACCCAGAGATCGAAATAACAAACCATCCTGAGCCATCGAGTAAATAATTCTGGGTAAAGGGAAAAGGGCCCCCAACAAACTCGCAATTAAACCAATTAAACCGCCAATAGTAACTAACCACATAGCGAAATCCCAGCCAACTTCCTTAAAAGCACTGGGCAAAGGAGCGTTAGCATCTTGTTGATAATAGGGTGTCATTAATGTTAACACGGTCGAAACACCAAAATAGCACAAGAATATGATTAACAAAGACAATATAAATGATCTGGGTATATTCTTGGCAGGATTACGCACTTCCTCCCCTGTCGTAGCTATGCAATCAAAACCGACAAATCCAAAGAAACAAGTCGCGGCACCCTTGAGAGTGCCTTGAAAACCAAAAGGAAAATATCCGCCATTCCCTAAATTGATATCAGGAGGAAGGTCGCTTTTATTAACATGATTTACATTAATATTCCAATTGGAAAAGTTAGCTACGAGAATAAGATTAAAAATAGGAATTATTAGGCGACATAATAATAATAATAAATATAATAATGAAAACAAAGAGGTATTTCTTACCTTTCATTGAACCTGCTATTATAACAAAAAGTAATATGAATAAGTTAAGACAAGTGAAAAAGTTATTAGCCATAGTAGAAGTTTCAACGCCAAATGCCAGAGCAACTGTGTCGAGAAGAAAGGGATTTTCAAATATACAAAACAATTTATTATGCAGGCATTTTTAATTTTAAATCTATTAATTGCATTTACCTCCGAACACAATTACCAAACTGCAAGCAAAAAAATCAAAGTAACTGCCCAAAAAACTGACATTTATAGGCGCCACTTCGGCGAACGTAATCTTTAATGTATCGTTAATCAAACTGTCTAAATACAAGCTAATGCCACGACACACGCTCGCCGTGCCAATGATATATTCCAGTATCAAATTCCAACCGATAACAAAAGCAGCAAATTCCCCTATGCACACATAACTGTATATATAGGCGGATCCCGCTTTGGGAACGCGAGCACCAAACTCAGCATAGCAAGCACCTTTAAATAAAACAAAAAAATGAAGAAGAGAAAAAGAAATAAAATATAAATATACTTCGCTACAAACAAAACATACACTCGCTCCGCTCTATTATATAAAAAATAATAATACTACAAATAAAAAAAAAAAATAATTTTTTCAAAACATATTTATTTGCACTTACCCGCCAATAGAGAAGCTAGGGCGGCTATAGCAAAAGATATCATGACTGAAGGGCCAGCCTGATCTTTAGCTATCTGACCGGCTAATATATAGACTCCGGCACCTAGAGTGGACCCTACTCCCAACGCGGTTAGATCGTAAAGACCCAAAACTCGATTTAATCTGCTATCGCCATCGGTACCTTCGTTGTTCACTTGTTTTCGTCGTGTTAAAACTTTCCAATAAGAAGTGTGCAGAACCATGGCTTGGTTAAATGCTTAAATAAAACTGCAAATAACAAGATTACTTAGGTTCGATTGGAAGTGTGTGTGTGTGTGTACGCGTTTACCTGAAACGACTAATTAAATAATTGTAAAAAAACGCTGAATAGTTTTGTTTTGCATTTTGTTAAACAAAAATTCTCAGAGAAACGAATTTCAACTAATTATTTCATATTTGTTTAAGCAAACAAAACATTTGTCAAATTTGTTAATTCTGTTATTAAAATGTAACCTAATATGATTTTATAAATTCTAAGTTCTTCTTTATATCTATCCAAGCTCTAGCCTTCAAGAATAAACAAAGTCACAATAAATCAAAATTGATCAATCTAAGGAGCAAATCGACTTTCTTTCTTACTTTTGTGTCATAATCGAAAGGTTTCAGTGATTTCCTCAATAGTTTTATGGTTTTTTTTTTTTTTTTTTAAATCTTTTTTAATTTTATATTATGGAATAATCTAAGGATTATTTTATTCGACATACATATGCAAAGTAGCTTGCTACCCATTAATCGACGATAAGTTATGGCTTGTCGTTTATGAGAATGATTAAAATATTAGGTTATAAGAAATTTTGAAAATAAAAAATACTTGATATGTGCGCGATATGTGGACACGATCCATTGAGGATGTGTTATTATTGAAATAATGTTGAGAATATAAATTAGTTCTGTCCGCTTTTTATTTTTTGGCCCAAGACACATTTATTTAACAATAAAATGAATGAAAAGCTTAATCAATGTATTACCCATCCATGATGACTACTATTCTTTTCTATCTCTCAGGCAATTTTCGAATTTCATTTCAGAAAAATGCCTTGTCTTTCGAGGCTACGACGCTATAAGCATCAAAACATGATTCGAGAAAATAATAAGTCATCTATTATAGGTCGCGTTAATCGAAAAGAATAACGCCCGCTGATAACGGAGGGAGCGGAGGACATTTCAGGTTGTAACCGCAAACATTTGCTGAACGAGTTTTGCTATACGGGGCCGAATTCCGTGATATTGATCGCGGCCATTTTTATCACTCCCTAGTGATCGTTTCATTTGGTTGGAACAACTCATAATACACATAATACATAACCTCGTCCACTAAAATCATATTACTCTAGGTATTCACCTTTATCGTCGATGTTAATGGTTCGCCTACTGTTCATCATGATTACTTGGTCTTTGGACAACGTAATCTATCCATTATTTCTTATCCTATCACTGCTAAGCATTTAGCAGCACTTTCTTCGTTTTAAGCTAGAAAAGTGAAGTTTCCCGCAAATGGCGATTTTTATACCACGAAGTTAGCTAAAACTATTCAAGCCTCCACGAAGCTATGTTTTGTACGCCTTAATGCGGTATAGCTTGTAGACGATACTTTGACATGAACAAAACGCAGTTTTATTCTACACTCTACAGAAATGTTTGCACTCCCGAACTAATTTGTACTCCCAAGCCAATATTATAGATAAATAATTTTAACAAGTAGATGGCAGCATCTTACAGTGTTTCCAGTACAAGCTAAGAACCGCAATTCGTTATCGTAGCCGAGACCTTAGACCAGTTTAGCTAGAACAGTAAGAAACAGATTGAATGATTGGCAGACGGATGGACGGGACTACTACCATTGCGTCACTCATTCATTCGTTCATTCATGCATTTATTCATTCATATATATTTATTTACATGCATTTATCTTTTTTATATATTCCAACAACGCATTGTATTCCACAAACGCATTTATAATATCGTTCTTAGTAAAGACATTAACTTTTAAAATCAATTTGTTCTTCCAAGCAAAATGTCTGCGTAATCGTGCTTTCAGCGAACAAACATGCCTGGATATCGTATGATAGTTAAATCGACTCCGTTCACTTCGCTCGTGTGAATGACATATCAAAAGTACATTTCTATGAGTTAGAAAAATGCTACAAATCCCATATATCTAATGTTGCTGGTATGAAAAGAGATTGCATTCAGAAAAGGTTGTCCTGGAAGGCAATCAAAGATTTTAAATGACTTATGAATAAATTTAAATACATCTTAGTCTGAGGAAGAAGTTCAATATACTATGAAAGTAACTATGTATAAAACGCATGATGTATGCGTGTGTATATGTGTTATATAATTTTGTATATTACATTTAATATAAATACATTACGAATCGCTACTGAGGAGATAACTGCTTTAGCACTTTAAACTGGTATGAAGTGGCTATAAAATACGCATCAATTTAAATACGACTTAAGTCAGATGAACAGCGAGGCACAGGCACACAGCATCTTCAATGCCAATAGACTATAAAAAAATACAAATTATTGTTTATTTATTTATATTTTCATTTTTTCCTCTTTTTTTTAAAATTTTTTTTTTTTTTATATTTTATTGCTTAGGAATTTGTCTGCTCCAATTAATTTTTTAAACAGGGGTGTGTTGTAACCTTCCTTTTACACTAGCACTGATGTGCACGTACGAGAGATTAAGAAAGACTTTCAAAATAGTGTACATTTAATTATTATTACATTACAATCTTGGCTAAGCTCAAATGGGCGGCATCCACGCTCAGCCTTAACAATAGCAATGAAGACATTATTAGATATTTTTATGAAAATTTATGTTTGCATTATACATGTAACAATATAAGTGCATCAATAAGTGTATGCATCTAAAAATCCTTACGTGCGGTTGCCTCGTTGTGTCACTTTGTTTTTAGGCGCATTTATACATATAATTTAATACTTATCTTTTCAAAGAAACAATGACAACAACAACTGAAGTAATTTAATACAGATTAGCAGCAATACGCGTATATATATATACAAGCATATAGATTTACGAGTAATACACACATGGATGAGGCAGTTTGTACACGTATGCCACAGTATATGATTATCCTACGGCTAAATCAATTTCGTTGAAATATTTTTTATTAAAATATCGCTCAAATATATAGAATTTCACGAAAACATGCATGCATGTGATCCATTGCTGGACTTAATACTGAGCATACAACTGTTAATTCGACCAACTGTTTTAAAGGTAAATGTTGAAGTTTCGAAGGATCCGTGTAAACTATTATATATCGATATGATACCGTACGCATTGCATATGTCTCCAACATGACGAACATTACACGTACATTAAGTGAAAACTGAAACTTATCCCCGCGGTCTAAACATAGTATTCATCGAGCTTCACGACAAGTTTTTCTCGTTTTTCTGGCGACATGGCGGTATTGGTTTGGCATCGACCCATTTACGCACTTCTTCAACTTTGTGGAACCGCATATTACCCAAGCCATGCTGGACTGATCTGAATAAATGGTAATCAGAAGGTGCCATGTCTGGTGAGTAGGCTGAATAACCCACGACTTTTGCGCTTGGGATTGTCGGAGTAAATTCACATACCATCGTCACTCACAACGCATCTTTTTTTAAGTAGCGGGATGTTGAAACGGTTAAAAATGGCATTTTCGGTCAATTGGTAGCTATTTGCTTTCTTTTGGATACTTCCCAAGACATGTAAATATCTACAAAGTATTGATTTATGCAGCGCTAAGCTAAGCGAAAGTTCGTTGAGAGTTTGAACTGGGTTAAGGCTTGCAATTCGCTGTCTTCGAACTTTACGTCACATAAGAAGTAGTCGAAGTAGTTGTCCAATCCGAACAATTTTGAAGAGTGTTCGTACTTCGACCAAACCACATAGGTATGCCAAATTTCATCAAAAGATCTCAAAAATCGAACGCAAGGAAGCAAGAGGGACAAACGGATAGAGAAGCAGAGCGGTACAGTAAAGGGGAAACCCACCTCAACTTCTTTTGGCTGTTGCACACATCCGCACGAACTTAATATACCATAAATGGTACAGGGTATACGAAGCGTTTGTTTGAAGAGAAGGGCGTTTTGTAACGATAATATTGTCCACTGCTAGCTATACATTCTTCTTAATTTTTTAACTCAATTTTATCAATTCCCAATCACATCAGATCTTTTGGGATTGCCCATAAAGGAAAAACCAATTTTTCGGATATCGTCATATGAATGGAAGCACGGTTTGAGCAAACAATAAGTCATCAATTGAAACCATTATCGATTAGAAAGAGTAACGTCATACGAATACAGCGGGGAGAATAATACATTTCCCGGAATTGCCAAGTTGAGTGTCTTGTCCTAAATTGTTTGAGCGAATTGTTACTCAGCATCTAGTTTTTGCTATTAAATCTTATATTTTTCCGTTCCAGCATGGCTTTCGGAAAGGAAGATCTACTGCACGAATCTCGTAAAGTTGGGTTGCCGTGCTTTCAAGGCTTTCTCTAGCGGCTCTCGCCCGAATGTCGCATATACTGATTTTAGCAAAGTGTTTGACTTAGTGAACCATAATTTATTGAACTTCAAACTCTATACCTCTGGCTTGCCTTTCTGTTTAGTGAAATGGATAAGATCGTGTCTCCATAACAGATCATTCAGGGTTCCGTTTAACTTCATCGCCTCGAATGAATTTCCCGTGACGTCTGGCGTCCCTCAAGGCAGCCACTTATGACCCCTTTCGTTTAATTTATACATTATTGATCTCCCCGAAATGATTAAAGTCAGCTAGATCGCACATTGAGATCTCTTTAAGTAAAGCTAGATCCTTCCTTGGTTTCATTAAGAGGTGGTCAAAAGAGCTGAAGGAACCTTACATTACGAAAAAGCTATACATGTTCTTAGTTAGGCCAATACTTGATTATAAGTCGGTTGAGTAGTCTGCCCCCCATAGATGTTATGTATATTCAATTGAATCAGTTCAAAATCAATTCTTGTTGTTTGCCCCTAGGAATTTGGGTTGGCACCCGTTTGTCTCTTTGCCTCCTTATGAAAACAAGTTGCCTCTGTTATCCTTACCGTCACATGAGAAACGTAAATTGATTTTTGATGCGCTTCTTAATAAAGTTGATTAATGGTACTATCGATTCGTCCACATTACTTGGTGAGATAAGCTTTAATGTCCCTAACCGCTTCTCTAGGCACTTCACGTTCATTAAGCTGCGTCAATGTAGGTATAATTATGAGCTGTTTAACCCGTTTAGAGTTGTTCGCAGAAACCCAAGTGATGTCTGTCACTTAATCCCGATATCGAATTCTATAAAGTGTATCAAAACAACTTTGGTTAATATGCGCGATTTGCCAATGTCGTATTTAAACTAACTTGCAATCTAAACATCTCATTATGAGTCGACAGTTAATTGGCGTTATTTACTGCATCGGTTGCCAAGATTTTGCATGTTTGCGATAGCTTATGGGTTCACTTGCAATTCTGTTCGTTCTGTACTGGTTGTGGGAGTGCCTCTGTGCTAGTTGTGTACATGTTTTTTTTTTTTTCTCCTTCTTATTTGTTTGTACTTGCATTATTATTTAATAATTATTAATTTTTTTTTCCTCATATCTCCTTATATAGTTTATACGGGCCATTTGCCACATCATGCCCATTTTCTATCCCTCACCCGTCACGATTCACTAGCACTTTTTGCGGCAGATAGCGGTTTCTGCTTTCGACGTTCTTTGGCATACAACATAACTTATTCAAACAATTTCTGAATAACGTGTTCAAAGCTCCTGTGTACACGACAGCATAGAAAATTCAAAGGTTAACAAGAACAAATCTTTGCACAAAGAGTAACGTCTCTCTGTAAGAAGAGCCCATCCACATTTCGTGCATTCACACATTTCATGAAGTCTCTGATGCTTACTTCAATTGGATACTAAAATAGGTACATGAATAATTTAAGTCCCTTTACGGAAGGGTTCATAATTTTGAAACATTAAAATTAACACATAAGTTGGTTCAAAATTTTCGATAAGAGCCGCCTAAAATTTAAATCAACATATTCTTATACACGCGACACCGCAGTACTAGGAAGCTGATGTAGCGCAAAAAATGAAAAGCAATAAATACAATGAGTATTTTCTTTATACATCTTTGACACCCTTATGATAAATGACATATTAATTGTATCAGTCTTTCTGTCATATATGGATAGATATACATGTTGAATGGGTTGAATGGTAAAGATCTTAATATGTATAATCCTCTCTGTCTTCCATTATTCCTTCACGCACATCGTTTTGCTTATTTTGCAATAGATTGCATAACACGAATCGATCATGTACAGGCCAAGGCTAATGAAGTCAGCAACTAAATATAAATATCGCTTAACTATTCTTCTGGTAACAGTTCAACTATAAAAATGGTTTCTGTTCAAATTAATAACACTTGCGAAACGGAATAGATCGAACAATTTTTATTGAACTTTCTTTTAAGTAACTCAAAAGTTTCGCCAACGCCACGTGCCAAGATAATTGGTTAATTATCGACGAGGCCAAGCAATCGCCGAGATTACTAAATTGACTTTTCGCTCCTCCAGACTTTTCTTATAAGCGTATCAAAGCACATCGATCACAATTTCAGTGAAGACGAATTTGGATTAAATTAATTTGGAGTTCTCGCTATTCGATGATCAATGAATGAAAGATTTTAAGCAAAAAGGAAGGGAATACAAAAGGAAGGGAACATAGCTTTTTTTTTTGTTTTAAAATTGTTTGCACCGTTACGTGCTGCCTTTTGAGTAAGTTTGCTAACAACAGCAAGGAGAAACAGTTGCTTCTGCTCAATGAAAATAATGAAGCGACCGGGTTCCAGATACACTAACCTTTTGGTAGTCGAATTTTTGCCGATCACACTGTTTATTTATAAGATATTAGGCGTTAATGTCTCGAATCGCGTAATGCGTTCAGTGAGCGCCAAAGTCTGGCAAGCAGATATGTGCATATATATTAAATTAAATCTATATATATATATATATATACATATAGCTATAAAGCTTTAACGGTATTTTATTGACAAAGAGTATCAAGGCATGTTTAATTTCAATTTTAAGAACGCGTATGCACTTACTTACCTTCAGAGACTTAATCACAAAATAATTTTCTTTTATTTTTGCAAATTTTTTGATTCCTAGTTTACAGTGAAATGTAAATAGATACAGTGATATATATATATATATTTAATGTTTTATTAACTATTCACTTGTTTATTTTATTTGTTTATTTTTGGATTGTAGTTTTTTTTTTTCTGTGAGACTTTGTTTCATATTTGCATATATGTAAGTCTTGCTTCGTGTCAACTGCTTAGCTTAAGGCACAAAACGAATTTGAACCATTTCCACTGTTTTAAAAGTCTATGGACAAATTTTGCTACTGAATTCTCATAAAATTTATTTTTAATAAAACGCAAGAAAAATTAAATAAAAAAATATAAATTGTTTTTGCAATAACCAAAAAAAAAAAAAAAATAATAATAATAATAATAATAATAATAAAGAAAAGCACCCACACAAGCGCACACGTACCGAAATGCATACAACGCTAAGAGATAACTTGCCTTGTACAGTAGATGTGAAGAAACTTATCTTTGCGGTGGACAGCGACAATAGACACAGAGAATTTCACATGTATATAAATGAATATCTTAGTTAGTCTATACGTTACTGATAACACGAGTACATAATAAAGACAAATTTTATTTTTAAATAAATAAAATATGAATATACTAAAGATATATTTATATAAAAGCAAAGAGTAAAAGAAACTTAGAGAGACAGAGAGAGAAATAGAGAGAAAGAAAGAAAGAGAGAGAGTGAGAGAGAGAGCGCGGAGATGAAACTCGGAGAGTAAATAATTTTAGAAATTCTTCAGTTGTAATTATTTTTTCAATTTTTTTTTTTTATTTCTTTTTATTTTTGCAATTAGAAACTCATTTCATTAGCATTTGTTTGTTTACTTCGTTGGAACTGTTTTAAGTTATTAGAAAATATTTTTAATTTTTTGTTGTCGTTTTTGTCTCTTTATTACGGTGGGTAGTTATGCGTTAAAGTTACAGTAACGCTACAGAAAACATATGTAATAAATTATTTTTATTTAACACTTTCATCTTTATTTGATTATTTTCTGTTTATGCTGTTAGAGAAAACGGAATCATTTCTTAATTATAAAGCAAAATAAAACAAATATTAATCTTTTTTTTTTTTGATTTATCTTTTTACTCTGTTTTTTAGGAGAAATTTATTTTTCTTCAATGTGCTTTGAAACTGATAAGAATTTGAATTTGAAGTATTGATACCGTTACACCTTTCGTTGCTTTCTTGTATACACTAGAATTTTTAGCCTGTTGTCTACTGTTTACTGTTAGTTCAGTTAGTCAAGAAATAAAGGAAAAATATCAATGTTTGCAATTCACGTTTCTTCTTAAAGCACTTTCAATTGCTTTGAAATCGAAAACAAGACTGATAAAAGTAGAGCATGCATACCGTTATTACTTGAGATACCATATATAACTCATATAGATACAGAAAATCAAATCGTCTGCAAACTTTTCGCATATATACATTTCTTAACATTAAATAGTCGGATGTTTTTACGTTATATTAGGCAAACATCAAAAACACACAAAAAAGATATAAAGAGAGCGATTAAGGATAGGCGTTAAAAGGGGGATGAGAGTACGCAATTATACGCTGTCTAATACGGCGGTGAACTTAATCTCTGCGATATTCAAAATATGATTTGAACATGGTCAACATGCACATCTGGATATAAACATTGGCATGAAAAGAATTTTAATTTTTTGTCTCATATAGGCGTTCTAAGCGGATCTTCACATAAACACTGCGCTCTTTAAGGACTGATATCATTATAAAACATGTTTTTCTCCAATTTTTTTCACTACAAAATAGAGAAGTAGCAGCTCTCGCAAATAAAGGAAAAAAAACCTTTTTTCCGCTTAACCCATTTCCCCTTCAAGAGTCATAATGCCTCATGATTTCGAATCTAGACAAATAAATTGTTTTAATTCACAATATATGCACCATGGAGTTGATTGATTGCTTTCAAACACTTTTGTTCCGTTTGCATAAAAGTATTGTGTTTAATGTCACACGACAACATTATTCAAGAGTTGGGATATCTGAACTGAGAAATGCGACAAACACCCTATTTTATAGTTTCTCTTTTTTCCAAAACTAAGTTGAGGTATTCAAAAAAGGCCCTATTTTATAGGCTTTGCAATTATATTTCATACATTGCGACTTTAAAAATTTTACAAGCAGTCCTTTAAGTGGACATGCAAAGATTATGCAATTTAGTATTTGCCATTGAGCGAAGGGAACCATGATTTGATCGGGCTCATTTTTGAATTTCATTCGGAGACATAATATAAAGCAAACATTGACGTATTCTTCATTAACATAATTTTATCGTCTTCTAGAATGGATCTTCGAGACGTCATAATTGGTACTATAAAACGAACGGATATATTAGTGCAGCCTCATCCTACATTTTTATTTATATAGAGCATATGGTAATGGGATATTGTTTTATAATTAGTGCGGATCAACGCCTTCTTAGATTTTAAAACAATAAAGCAACGTTCGCTCAATATATGGTTTATGCTCAATATCAGTAAAACAAGCACAGTAGAACATCTTACGGGAACTACTGTTGATTAATTGTACCGATCAGTAGTAAAGCAATAGCAGAACAAATATATTCTAAAGTTTCAAATATATTCTAAAGTTTGCGGTTGTAAATACATGTATACAATACGTTGTTGGCATATACAAATTGCCTTAAAATTAATATAAATTAATATATATGTTCGAAAATACGGTTATTTACGTTATCACCAGTTTTCACTGCTAATATAAAGTAATCTTAACAAGTGTGTTACTGATAATTTTTTTTTTTTTTTCACAAAAATTATTTTTAATCTTTTTAATTCAACTCCAAGCTATGAATTTGCTTTGAATAACCTACTACGAGGGTCTTGTTTTTATGAAAACCCCAAAATTATGCAATAATTTGTAACGTCTCACGAAACAAGCATACTACAAAATTTTTGAAAGATGAGATTCATCAATCTTTATCTTAGTTTGTGGTTAGTAATCATTTTGTGGATGGTATTTTGACCATAATTTATGCAAGTGTGGCTAGTAGTCATTTTGTAAATGGTATTTTGATCATAATTTATACAAGTATGGTTAGTAGTCATTTTGTGGATGGTATTTTGATCATAATCTATGCACTTGTGGCTAGTGGTCATTTTGTAGATGGTATTTCGATCATAATTTATGCAAAAATTGTTGAGTTTCTTTTTGTAAACAATGTAAAATGTTTTTCGTTGTATCTGTTGCGGTTTATAAGTGGCTTTGGGGTTGTGTTTTCTTGTTGTTATACACCTACAGACGATCTTGTGTAAAAAAATATGTTTTGTTTTATGTGTTAGCACCAGTAGATTGTCGAAAGATAAGATATGAAAGAAATCTAGCAGAGAAACATAATAGTATTTATTGTTTACGTTCAGCTTTCTTCCGAGGTGAAAGACATAACCAATTTCCTGCGATATTAATGTTCTTATCATGCGGAGCAGCCTACATACAAGAGTCTCACAGGTCCTACGGATTTTGTAGGAATATTCAATAGTTGTTGTGCATAATTCTTATATATTGGGTGCTGCATAAACAAACTGGCCGTGTCCATGGGACAGTCATCTTGCAGCACACCATTCAATACCATCTTCGACGGTAACAATAACAAACGGAATGAAAAAACAAATAACTCGGTACCTGAATGATTGATTTTTACACCGCCGCTTTGGATACAAGGGTACATTAAGTGTGCGGATGTATACAACATCTACAAGGGCTTGAGATACAGCGAATTCGTATTATACCGATCGGATTAACTGCGCTTCGCTATCTGTCCGTTCATCTATCTAAGTGATTTTTGGCCATATCCCTTACAGGTCGCAAATTTTTGAGATATTTTCATAAAATTTGATGCCCCAAGTTTTGGGTCAAAAACGAAGACTTTTGAAAATGATTCGGATCAAACTACTTCGACCACTTCTCATATAAAGCCTTATTTTTAAATATCATTATATGAATATGGGCTGTGGCCCATTACAGGTTTTGCTTATTTAAGTCCTCGAAAGAAAATAAAAGCTCTTAATAAAAGCAAATTTCAAATAATAAAATTTCTTAGCAAAAGCAATAATTTAATTAACTAGTAAAATTTTCAATTAATTTTTTAATTCTTTTTGCAATTAACTGCAAGTTTTTTAATATTCAAAAAAAAAAAATAAATTTTTTTTTGTATATTCAATCTATTCATAAATAATCTAAAAAAATTTTCTCCGAAATATTATTCAGGGCTATCAGACTTTTTTTTGCCTTAACACCTTTTCTAGTAGACTTTCGCATACAACAACAAGAATTTTAACCCTGTCAGGAAATGAAGTAATATCCATGAAAATTAATGTATTAGCGTACAGTTGACAGTTGACACCGATGGCATTTTTTCAATAAAGCATTGGAAGTTCAGATTGTCTGGGTATATTTAAAATAAATTGAAAGTATTGGACTTGTTTTAAAAAAACGGTAAATATCCCTTTTGCTGCTATGCGAGGAATCGCAAAGCTCAGTTGCAAAGCTGGCATCGTTAATAAAGAACACTACGCTATCAAAAATTAATAATACCCAATAATCTTTGGTATACGCGATGTAAAAATAGGCACGAAAACATCTATATTTTTGATTAGCGGAGAATTTCGCTTTGATTTAGGCAAGCTCATCCAAGAAATACAGGTCTATAATTTAACTTATATGTTGGCATCAATATCTGCCATCAAATGATGGCACTTTCTAAGATGACCATAACCTTAAATAAGTAAGAGTTTTTGCTTAAGAGATTTAGTTACGCTTAGGGAATATTCAATATTAACTAATTATTTAATTATGTTTAAAGTACTCATACAATATTTTTCCAGCCTGAAAAATCTGAAATATTGTGTCTTGGCCACTTTTTAACCGTAGAACTTATTTCCGTGTTCTAAGCAAATTATAATAATAAAATAAATTAACATTTATTTTTATTGGAAATATCCATAAAATTTTTATACAATATATAGGAATAAAAAGCATTGGTTTTTTATTTTGCATTTTGGTGTTGAGAGGGTGGATGGACTCTCTCTTTATCGCTTCACATCTTGTTTTCAAATGATTTATCAGACTTTTCTTATTTTTAAGTACACGTTTACTCTTACTATATTAGTAAACAATCTTAATTAAATAGAACTTTGCATAACCATTAGCGGTGCTTGTGTTGTGAAGCGTTCATTTTGTTCAAGTGATATATTATCAATTTCACTTCGATCTCTTGATTCGGATTCCGTTAAAATTTTCATTTCTGTACGCATACGTAAACAACTATTGCGTATACTGTAGCCGAAGAAGATAATTAAGCCGATTACAATCCATACACTGAAACGAATCCATGTCATAATGTCCAGTTTGATCATAAGATAAACGTTAATTAACAATGAGAAGCCAGGAACCCACGGCACATATGGAACTTTAAAAGCTAAATGAGCGGGTGATACTGGTTGTCGAGAAATAGCATAGAGAGTTAGTATTAAAAGAGGTAACGTCACTGCAAGTTTGACAATATCGGACGCAGTTACATGGGAAAGATTCTCCTCGAAATTACTTAATACCTGTGTTAGGAGAATACATTGCAGTACTAAAAAGATGATGTAAGTTATTTCGCTGCAATTTATATAAGTGTTCTTTAAACCTAGCACTTACCATACATCAGTATTAACATGGTAACTAACTGTGATGTTTTCTTGGTAGGTACTATGGATCGAGAGCTATTAAACAGCAACTGCCAGAAACTGCATTTTGTCTCCTCGTAGTCTTTAAGAGTGTGACCGTTGGCTAATATCTTACGGTCCGTACTTTCATAACGTAATATTAACACACAAGCTGCTACCATGGAATAAGCCAAAAACGTACCAATAGACATCATATTCATTAGTTGTTTTAAATTGAAAATTGCTGCAAAGGCGCCCGTTAAAAATCCTGTCAATAGAGTGCTATTCAGTGGTGTCTTGTGTTTCGAACTAATCTCTGCCATAAATTGAAACAGCAAACCGTCTGTGGCCATAGCATAGACTATGCGTGGTAAAGGAAACATAGAACCCATAAGGCTGGTGCACATAGCACATATAGCACCAATCGATACAATGTATTGAGGTGCTGTCCAACCATAAATGCTAAATACATGTACCAAAGGAGCGCTCTCGTCCTGCTCATAGTATGGCAGCATCATAGTAAGAACTGTGGAAATGCCGAAATAAGCTAAAAACACCATAGCCAAAGAAGCTATAACAGCAAACGGTATGGATTTTTTCGGGTTTTTAGCTTCTTCACCAGCGGTCGCTATACAATCGAAACCAATAAAACCATAAAAACATATAGCCGCTCCTCGTATGATTCCAGCAAAGCCATAAGGAGCAAAACCACCCTCTCCATAACCTTCCGGTATAGAGGATTTGGGTAGAGTCCAATTCTTGGTAGTTACTATACAGTAATGAGAAAAGATTTACCAAATGTTTTCAAAAACCTTAAAACTGGAAGAAAAAACAGTTCACCTTTGAAGAGACCAGCGATAATCACAAATAATACGACACTTAAATTGAGCAGCGTAAAGGCAGTGTTAAGACGTGTCGACTCTTTGACTCCGAAAGCTATGGCCCAAGAAAAAATTATAGTTACACCAAAAGCAAAGATATCTGGATAAGCATTAAGACCGTCAATATTCATTGGCAAGTGAGTGCCTAAAAACTTCTCCATGGCATGACCGCACAAGTTATCCAAATAGGAACTTAAACCTTTCACAACACTTGCCGAGCCTGTTCGAAACGAAAATGACAACAGAAAAAAGTTAATTGTTTCTATCAATTTACAATCAATTTCAAAGAACTTTAAATGAGGGGAAATCATTTCAAAATCATTTCGAAATAATTTCGGCTCTCGTCTTTTTAATTTACTTCTTGCATTCAATCAATTCAAGCTCAGATACAGTCATATTCATTCATACGTAGGCAATTAAATAACTATAAATCAATCAACTCGATTAAAATGTTTTTTTTTTTTTTCCGCATACAGCGCTAAATGCTAGCAATTCGAGTCAAATGTAATATAAATATAAGAAATATTAAGCTCTCTCTGCACATTATACATAATATGATTACTCTGTGCTACATACAATATTAGAGAAAGACATCTCGTCTTACCTATAGCGTATTCCAATATCAAATTCCATCCAATAATGAAAGCAATGAATTCACCAATTGTTACATAACTATAGATGTAGGCTGAACCGGCTCGAGGAACCCGTGCACCAAATTCGGCATAACATAGCCCAGCAAAAATGGACGCAATTGCAGCTATAAGAAAACTAAAGATGACTGCCGGCCCGGCATAAATTTTGGATACTTGACCGGCCAACACATAAACACCAACACCCAATGTCGAACCAATGCCCAACGTAGTTAAATCGAACGCTGATAAAACTTTCGCTAATTTCGATTCATTTGAATCCTCAATTGGTTTTTTACGGCTAAGCACGTGATATATTCGTCTCAAGCCGGGAAAAGGCATACTAAATGAAAACGAGAAAGAAAATAGAACAACAAATGATCGATAATACGTTGTTATGAACGCTCAATAAGTGTAAATATTTCAAATAATAAAAACTGAAATTTATCTTGGGGCGAACTTTGCTTACTCATTTGCCCAAACAAATAGATACGTATTTTTACATTAAGTATTGACGGCCTGAAATCTAAAACCCTATAATTCTCGGGGGCTTAACAAAAACATTTGCTACATTCGTTTTATTGGAGATTGTGTCAGTTAAGAGATATTCTAAAGAACTTTTATATTTTATGGGTACATTTACCAAGTCGTAGCCATTTTAGCTACATTTTTGTGCCTTTAAATATTTTAATAACAGGCAGCTACTCTCGGGCACGAACAAAGTAGCACGGCCAAATTGAGTCAGAATATCGTGCTTATCAAAAATATACATATATTTGGCGCCGATTGCGTTAAATTGTGTTGCACTCCCATCTTCCAGTAACATGCCCTATGTACATAAAAATTTCTTGTCCGTAAATGTTTGTAACAAAAAACAAGCAAAGAAAACAACAATAGTATTCATGATAAATAACAAGTATGAAAATTATATCTGCCTGTGAACGAGTCTTCTACGCTCGCCACCTTTACCCGAAGAAATACATATATATATAAAAAAAAAAACTAAATTTCTATATTTTATAGTGCTGCAGGCAGGTATCTATTTTTTTTTTTTTTTGCACAAATACTCTAGGACCACTCATGGAATGTACGTGGACATTTTTATCGTTATATCTGTTGTAGTTTATGAGCGATGCGCAAGAAATCTGAAAGCAGAAGCATTCCCAGTTTATGTCATGCAGTAGGCGAGTCCTTGAAACTGATTTGATGGACAAACGTATATGTTTAAGTCGTTTCAGAATTTGATGCTGATCAAGGATATACGTATATACTTTATAGAGTCTCTCACGCTTTCCTCTATGCGTTTCAAACGTTTTGACAAAATGAATACATCACCGGCGTTAGGTGGTAGTTATAGAAAGTAAACAAAAGTCATTGAATAATTTTGTACTATATAAAGCGTGTAAGTCATTCTCAAGCGTTGAAATTTAAAACTTTTTCTTATTAAATATAAAAAAAGAATAAATAAATAAAATGTATTTACTATTTTGTAAAAATAAAAATTTGGACACAAGAAACCTGTCTTTCAAATGAGTACATCTCTTGCTCATATGAGTAAACAAGTGCAGTATATCCCAAGTCGATGAACACGACCGGAAAGTTGCATGAATTGAAATACAAATTGTCCCCGTATTTTCTAGATCCACTACTAACTGCTTGGAAACTTCCCAAGAATTCGCCACCGTGTTAGAGAAGCGACTGATTGTTGCATCGTTCTTAAAGCGAACCAAGTTAATGGATAAAGCCCCGTTTCCGAAAACATTTTTTTTTTTTTGTTTTTTTTGCTATTTAGTTCCTATTTAGACTGTCCATCCATATATTAAGCTGCAAACGGATTTATGTGGAATGGTTTACACTATCAATTTAATTAAAATATTACTTAGAAGTATATTTCAAAAGTTTAAAAATTATGGAACTCAAGAAGTGCATAGATTGCAAAGAAAATATAGACGATCATAAGGTTATGGCTACATTGACTCAGAAATCTGAGCCTGATTGGGAATGTACATAATTAATGACATGTTCAAAGCATATTTTTGGGAGCCTCAAACGGAATAAAAAAAGGAATATTGATCTACCTGATTGCAATTTAGGATTAAATGAAGACACATTGATCTTTATATCAACCATAGCTAGCAACGAATCTGGCTCCGAATAGATCATTGCCACATCAGATAGGAAATAGTTCATTATTTTCTCTCAAGTATTCATGTCAGTACACGTTTAAGAATGCATGTGTCTGCTAAAGCAATTATTCAAAGAAACGGACAGCGTAACATGTAAACCGATTATATATATTCACTTTATGCTCGCTTTGGTGTCCAGTACTTGAAATCGACAGATCAAAATTGCAATATACTTTGTTATTTATGGGTTTGTTATGCAGATGACAGATGAGAAACTTTTTAAATGGTTTTGAAAATATTGCTACTACGTTATAGTTTACTATCTCCTATAGGTCGCAAAGTAAATGTGATTATTTATTTAATTAAATTCCGTTACGGACAAAGTCATTAGCCGAATGGAAGCTACAAAATTTAAATTATAATATGAAGAAGAAAAATAGCTAAAAATAAATATGAGATCAACATATAGCATACAACAAAATTTATCTAAGCCCTAAATTAAGATACAGGGATATATATTGGTGAATGAGTATTAGCTCATTTATACCTTATTAATAGTAACAAATGAGAAAAAATCAAATATAAAGGACCGTGTTGGTTCAATTTACCACAATCTTTACACAAGTGTCAAAAATGTCTGGCAGTTAGTTATGTAATTTAACACTTTTCACCTTATTTTCGGACAAAACGGACAAATCAAGCAAGTGATAATGATCGTTGAACATTTTACACATTACCCGAAACGGATTGAACAAATCGTAATTGGTACTGCGCTGTGGTAGCCGCGAAAGCACAAAACGTCTTGAGATCCTACTGGGGATGTGAATAGCAATATGTTTTAATAAAGCCGACGACTAAACGTCACCTTTTATTAACTTAAAGAGGAAAGTTACACCCAACATTTCATGCCTTTTTGGAAGGGTAGGCAAGTCAAAGCCTTCAATCTATTATTGCATGGTGGAAGAGATAGGGCAGGATCCCGTCCCAAACCTTGCAAAACAAACATCGAGAAGTTCCGTTGAACCGGCACCAAGAGATCAATATGGCATTGATAACTAAAAAGTCAAACTACCGACGAGTACTCTAGAGTTGTTCTAACTAAAGAAGAATGTAGCCACTTCGGAACGTATGGGCCTTTAAATTCTTTAGACCACGCTTTTATAAATTCTAAGCGATCTAACTTTATTAATTGACATTTCTATATGACTGTCAGACTTGAGTTTTGAATCAAAAACAACTTATAAGTCTTTATAATTGCAGACATTTTCCAGGATGTAATTGTCAATATGATAACAAGAAGGCATGGTATTACACCTTGTAAAAGACATTTTCTTACACTTGTTTCAATGCAGCACAATACCATTGCTTGCACACCCTTAGCACAGGTTCTCAAAATCAGACCGAAGAAATTTAGTACTATATATTGAGTCGAAGCAGAGCGACAGTTTAATAACGTCTGCAAACATTAGAACTCGGGAATGTTGAATGCACGCCGAAAGGTCGTTTACTGTAAAAAAATAAAAGCGGGCCAAAAAGACTGCCCTGAGGAACACCAGAAGTGACGTCAATTACTCTGGATTGACAAGAATTCAGCACCACCCGTTGGATGCGACCAGGGAGATGGCTACTGATATTGTCCGAAAAACCAAGGCGATGTAATTTTCAGACTTATAACCTATGATCAACTCGAAAGCTGTCGAAAGCTCTGGAAAAGTTCGTGAAAATAACATCAGTTTGTTTATGATCGGAAAATGCTTTGTAAATTGGATTAGAAAACTCCAAAAGATTAAAGGCCATTGATCTTCCTTTTAAAAAACCGTGCTGACAGTGCGACATAATTGATCCTAAAGCCGGAGCAAGCCTTTTTGCTACCAGTGATTCAAATAGTTTGGGCAGTGCACTAAGTTTGGCCATTACCCTATAATTCTCACTAAGTTTCCGAGAACCAGTTTTATATACAATATAAAAATACTCTTCCAAACCGATGGAAAGTAACCTTTTTCAAAATAACATTAATAATATGCGTAAGGTGAGCACATAGTAAGTCAACAGAATGTAGGTGAATAGCAGAGGGAACACCATCAGGACCACGACAATTGCAAGGTTTCAACGTTGACAATGCTATAAATACTTCTTCTTCAGAGAAAAATATAAACGAAAAATATCAAGAGAGCTTATCCAATACGGATAATTATCAAACGAAATATTTGAACATTGGTAGACTTTTCTAAAAAAGATTGCAAAAAGGTCGGTTGTTACAAACATATTGGATGATTCGAAACCTCCAAATTTGATGACCGTAGGAAATTATTTTACTTTTCGTTTAATCGTTTCGTTTTCGAATTTAAAGAAGCTCCTAGGATTTTTTAGAAGTTTGCGTCCGGTTACATCAATAATATTGGAATAACAAGTATAATCTCTAATCAAACCACTCCGTGTGAATTTTTAAGTAGTCTGCTTTTTTTATTACGGACCATTCGCAAATGCTTGGTATACCAAACATGAGACTCTGACGTGTGACAAGCCTTAAACGGTACCGAGACGGAAATTACGGAATAAAGCTGACTGTAAATAAAGGATATCGAATCATCAATATCTTCAGAGCGTAGGTCACAGTTAATGCCACCCAGCAAGTTCCTAAGTTTAACGAAATTCGTTTAAGCAAATAAACGGTAAGCAGCAGCGAAGAATTATGCCTATGTTTAAGCGAAACAAAGGGCTTCGTTCGATATACAGATATATCGGTATCTCAACAAAGAACTTGGTCAAGCAATTTATTATTCCCATTAAAGACGTTGTCAGCTGACACAAACCTACTCCATGGACACCATCGAAGAACTCTTTATTAATCAATGGATAAGAAAAAAGAATATAATATCCAAGGTCAGCATTAAAAACCCACGAAACGTTGGGCAGATTAAAGTCACCTAACACTATTTTAGATGGTTCGAATTCATTTTCAAACTGAATCTCTGGCCATACACTAAGTATTAACTAGGCAAATGCGCAGACACTCAGATGTATTTGCAAATGGTTATAAGTAAATCAAAGAAGAATCCTCACTAAGAACATGAATATTTCATGGGATCGCTGATGAACATACCTGTGTGCTGCAGACTTGTGGGTATGAAAAATCGATTATAATCTATCTCTTGATTTTTATTTTATTTATATGTCATTCGAAATTTTCAATTTCTCTTTAGAGGACTGTGCTTTGCTTTCAGGAGCCAATGCTTATTATATAATTTTTCGACTTAAGGTAATTTGAAACTGATTTTTAGCAAAAAATTCTTTTTTTCCTTACATGTAATGCTCGGTAAAAAGTCCACTTTAAATACACGCAGTTATAATTCACTTAAATTTTGTGCACCAAAAATATATACTTTTTTCTCAATATTCAAGAAATTTTATTTTCTCTTAGTTTTAAATCTCTTATTGTTTAATTCTCATCAGTAATTAATTTCTTATAACATGTATTTTTCCGCTATTATCACTAAACTCGTCGTTTTCACGCACGACTCTAAGTTTGTCAAGTGTTTCGGGTTTTTATTTAAATATCGTACTTCAATGATCGTCATACATATGTAGATGCGTGTGTAGTGATAAATTTAAATGATTTACAATAATTTGTTAGAAAAGCTTTATGAAAAGAGATCCGGCAATTTTTCGTAGCTCAATTCTCCAATACGGTGCAATGAGATCTTTGGAAATTTCTTAAATTATATTTTGTTTTAACTGTCCTAAGCTTTTTTTCATATGTTCGCTTTGAACTTCGTGGAATTACTGCAGATCACTGCAACAATCCCGCTTTATCAAAATATATCATTAATGAAAAAATGAAGCAATTTAACTTGTACTTAAGAGCGTCCGTTAAAAAATCTCCTTGCTGTTAGTAAAGTTTCAATTGAAATGAACGTATTCAAAATGCACCTGCTGCACATGTTAGTATGTTCTTTTGTTGACAGACTAGATATATTTTCTTATGTTAAAAGCTCACCTGCCCAAATAGGTATTGCTTTAGTGTCTCACAGACCAAGTTTTACCGTTACAAAATTATTACACTGAGGTTGTGTCTTTAGTTTCCATGTAGGTTAATATTGAAAATCGGGAGAAACAATTTCTGGTGAAATGGGTCTTGATGAACATCCATAGCGTAATTAGCTGTAGTAACAGGCATAATTTAAGCGATATGTCCTTTCAAAAGGTTGTGTAGCAAAAGCACTCTAAGTTATTAACATTACAACAATAATTAGAATATTTATTCGTTTTTGACCAAGTCGAAACTAGCAAAGAAATCAAGAAAACTTTCCAGAAAGGGAAAATTTCAAAATAATACCTAGAAGACCGTCCGATCAAATTCATTTAAAATGATTGGTGTTTAAACGTTGGCAAGATGTACACCAACAAAACATATTACTCGAAAAAGAACAAACCAAAAAGATGAAAACAATAGACTCTTTTCACATTGCTCGCTGGTTATTTCACGTCAATGTGGAATCTTTCTCCGTTTCCAATCGCAGCAGAAGCTAATTTTCGAAATTTTTTAAATTTTTACCATTCCGAAAATTGGAGGAAATTGGCAAGAACATGATTTCGTTGGTTTATCTATCCATCTGCTTATTATGTTTCATTATCTTAAATTATATCAAGGCTGGTCGCAATCCCATATATGAAAGAAAAACAATTTGATTATGGAGATCGGTCAACTCACTGCAAGACGCATTAATCAAAATATTGTATTACGATTTCTCCCTTGATTGTTGTATTCTCAAATTCTTCAAAAATTTCTTAAAAATATTTTCTGACGAGCTCCTAAACGGCTTTTAACAAAACATATTTAATTATATTTCAAGTTTGAAAATAAGTGGTTTAAATATTAAATTAATCAAAGTGTTTGTGAAGCGTTCATAAAAAGCTTTTATATATAAGTTATATTTAATCAACAATTGCGAACAGCGTTGCCAGCAGTTAAAAGCAACACAATCTTGCCATTTCTAAAGGATAGATTGCAATAGAAAAAGTCCGAATGTGTTAAAACGAAAAAGAACCAATTTGCTTTGCAAAAGAATTCTGCAGACATCGCATTTAAATAAATCACCCTTTACATACTTTATTACATAAAGCAGCGTTTGGAATGTGATATTATAAGCGTCTGATGAAAAAACCATCAGATGTGTGCCGCCGCTTTGATAAAAATCAATAAAAACGAAAGTCAAACGAATCAAATTCTTTGATAAATTGCTGCAGCCAAAAAAAAAAAAAAAACGATAATTAAAAATAGCGAAAGAATTTCGTAAGCAAACTCGATTAGATTTTCTTTGGTAGTCTACGAAAGCAATTGAAACAACAATTAATTTACTCACCCAATACTTTCAAAAAATTCATTCATTTTTTTTCTTAGTTAACAATTTTTGCAAATCCAATGTTATTGTGAATTTTATTCGATATTTCGTTTATTTATATTAAATTAAGTCAATCCTTTAATTCCTCTGCATAAATACAAAATAAAATAATAACAATAATTAATTTATAAAACACGCGGCATTTTATATGCCGGCCAAAATTCGATATTATTACTAATTTTATACAATGTACACGTTTTGCTGGCATACCTGCAAGAAACAAAAAAAAACTCTACAAACGGCTGCTTGTTTTCAAAGAATTAATGATTAAGAGAGCTTGAGAGAGGGAGAGACAGAAAGAGAGAGAGAGAGAGAAAAACAAGAACAAGAATTGAATAATATTTAAGAGTTGGACATGAAAAGAAATCTCTTATAAATAGAGAGATAGCTTTTTTGACATGTGTTTAATGACTTTCTTTTTAACGATACTATTATCGGGCATGTTGGATTATTGCAGAGAACAGAACGCATTGTGACAACAGATGGCGTTAATGTTATATTTGAACCTAAAACTATCGGAGCCTTTAGCTGTTTTGTGGATGGCATTTTCGGATATAAGTCGTATTGTGGATGGCATTTTTGGATATAAGCCTTAATGTGGGTGGCATTTTTATCATAACTTATGCAGAATTTATGCAAAAATTGTTGAGGTTTTTTTTGTAAACAATGTAAAAGAAAAAAACCGCTAACGTATTTAAGCGAGAAATTAAAGCAAATCAAAGCATTTTACAACTGTGTTTGACAAAGTGAAAAATTACCAAACGTGACAAATTTCCAAAAAAATTGCAATAGTTATTCATGAAAAAGTAAAATTATAAAAATTAAAATAAAATTGTATACATATTCTTTATGTAGTGTAAGGAAGTGTGCAAAAGAATAAAGACGAACGAATAAGAGACGAACTGAAAAAAATATAAGGAAATTATAAGAAATTAACAGTAAGTACATTTTATTCATGTATATATTTTTATATTTTGAAACGGAGACTAATTTGAGGAATATAGTAATAATTTGCTGTAAAGATTGAACTTTGTATTTAGTAAATGAACAATAGAAAATTGGAGACTATTTTGTGTTTGTTATGTTCGACAAGTAAATTATGTTTCTTCTTTCTTCTTTGAATATCAAAACGCTAAGACTCTTGTAAAGGAACTGCAATGAAAATGGCACCCACGGAGGCACGACAGCACGGTAAGGAAACGTTTTCCCAACCATCTTTACAGAATCTTCCAATAAAAATAAAAATATTGACAAATTTTTAATTTCCCATACGTAACAAAATTTGTATTCTTAAGAATAATACAAACATGCCCATCTAAATGGTTACAACAATTTATTCTCAAATTCTCCATCAAGAAATATTTGCCGCTAAAGTTAATTGATTGATTGATTGATTCAAATCGATTTTCTTTTAAATCATTGTCAAGTAGCTGCTCCTTAGGTGTCGTATAAGTTCTAAGTCCGTATTTCAATTTATCCAATACTTTTTGTATATCCTTCAGTTTATACAAAGCATTAATTATCTATAATTATGATTTTTTAATTATTCTTACGTCTATTAACATGTTTTTTTCTTTCTTACTTTAGCTAATCCGGCCATATGCGTTAACGATATTTAACTATTTTGCGTTCAAATATTTAAATCATAACAATTTAAAGTTAAATCGTAAACTTCGCAAGCGGTATAAACGAAGATTACCAAAATTGTGATGATTGCCGTGCAAATGAAAATAAAAATTTTTATATCACTTGAGTTTTGCCTTAGACGCATCACCGACACCCCAGCTGTTTGTGCTAACCGTAAATTCAATTCTATGGAACCGATTTGCCCTTTCCGAGGATCCGATGGAAAATAATTCATTAGTGATTGTTCAATTTTCAACATGGTTAGGCTTTTATGATAATTATAATTAAGATCATTTCGAAGTATTGGTCCTATTTTATATGTGTGGCCAGTATGTTTAACGGATTAAATTTGGATAACGTAAATTGCTCTCTCAGAAATACGGGGAGTTTAGCATTTATAAGGTTAACAATTATCTCTAGGTAGTTTCAGAGGATGGCAATATGTTTCTGCCGTTTATGGAAGGCATGATGAAGACTCTGTTATCAGCGGAAATATTATTGCCTAGCATAAAAGAACTGTTAGAAAAGTATCCTAAATACAGATATTTGTGAAAAGCTAACTGTTGAAGAGAAAGCGCGTTATGGGAAGCAATTGGAGCGATACAAAGTGACTGCTAGCCATTTGGAAAATGAAAATGCTAATGATACGCTCAAAGAAAAACATGAAAAATTCAAAATAGTACTCGAGGATATACGCAAGCTGCAAGATTGTTCAATGTTCAATGTTCGTTGTCTATTATTATTATATTATATAAATAGATTATAATAATAAATTAATAATATAAGGTAAAATAAAGAAGATTTTTGATTATAATTTATGCAAGCGGTTAGAGCGTTTTGTGGTTATTAGTCATTTGTTAGTAGTAATTATGGTAGCAGCTGCTGTTATTTAATACTTCAAGACTTTTAAGATCTCTGAAAAAAAAATAATAGAGAAAAATATGTCCTCCTTAGAGTTTTCCGTTGAAAATAGACTCACATCAGAATTTATTTCGCTGTTCTGGCGCACAAATAGACCTACTTAATTTGAAAATTTATGTACCAACTTTCAGCATTCTATCGTTGTTTTTCCACATTCCAACATTAAGCAAAAGGCGGCTGAACAAGTTTACATAGCTTAAGAATATGTAAGGATTAATGGAATCTCTCAGGTGTATTTCTGATTACAACTAGAAGCGAGCGCAATTAGTGGATACATATTACAAGCAATGAAATACCATTCAAGATGGAGCAAATCCTCTATTAATAAATAAAAAATTGATGAAAACACTTTTTTTGTCTAGGAATTGTGCCTAAATAGTTTTGGGTCAATATTTCCCACGCAAGCCTTAGGTAACTATTCGGGAATCTTCGTAAACACGTCAAGGCCATTAATTCGCTGAACTTTTATCATATCAAGTTTTTATCCTTTATTTCAATTTGTATTATTGTGCTCACTTCATCAATAGACAAACAGACAGACAAACAGGCAGATAAATGGACAGATTCATGCGGCTAAATTAATTCAAATCTCAGTTTCATGATGATGTTACAAGTGGTAAGACAAAACTAACGAGACTTCATTCTCCACTGGAGCTTATAACAAATTTGAATACATTTCGAAGTCATAAACATAATAACAAATATGGGCCGGTAACTGGTAAACGCATTCTATTCAAAGATGAGTTTCGTCGAATCTCTCCAACATCTCCAGCTAATTACAAAAGATGTTGTTTCTGGATTTTATATTCAATCCATTTACACTATTTTTATCCTTCAGTCTAGACATTTCACCAATTCTAATCACAAGCATCCCAACATCTTCAGTATCGAAACAGCTTCACACAATTAGTCCTTTTCTATTGATTTTTTATAAAGAGGATTTGAATAATATTCTCTAGATATTATCTTATTCCGTGCAATCAAGAGTTTTAATCTTTTGACGGGAATAGAAAAATTTGTTTGTTGTTGTCCTTCGATTTATTACACCGCTTGTGGTAGAGGAGCATATTAAGTTAATGCGTACGTATGCAACAATCAGAAGGACTTCAGATTGATTCACCTTTTATTATACCAGAGAGATCAGAGCTTTTATCTTTCTGATGTTCAATCTATCGGTCGTAATTTTTAAGACATTTTGATAAAATTTGGTACACTGACATGTTTTACTTCAAAAGACGAACCCTATTAAAAATTCTTCGGATCGGACCATTCTTCTGATCGTTTCTCATATAACACCTTAGTTTGAAAAAGTCGTTGTTTGAATAACTGCATTAAGCGAAGTTGTGCAGGATATTTAATGATGGACCGTGTCCTACTGTAGTTTCGTTACTTGTTTTTACTAAGAGTTACACTTTGTGATTCCTTATCTTTTATTTCTTTTATAGATATAGTTAGTAGAAATTTTATGGTCGGCCACGGCCGCCCTTAATATATTACGCGACTTCTCGTCATTTTACAATTTTTCATTTATTTTCCTGATTAAATACTCAAAATCCGTTTTCATGATTAAAGTCCCAATCTGGTGTAGACAAATTTTGATTACAAAATATTAAAGATTGGACAATTTTGTCTGATAAAGATTTACTTTTCGTAGGACTGGCTATATGGGAGGGGATGTACTGCTAGTCGGCGATTTTTGCCGGAGCATTTCGAAAACTAAAAATTCTTTTGATATATTGATTTTTTAAATAAGGCGTTATACGGCCAAACTGATCCACTCCTTAACATAAAACTTATCAAAGGTTGATGGCGATGGGGAGGATACCATTGGTAAATCCATTTGAAATAATGACCTGTCTAAATGTTTAGCTTTCATTACGGCCAGGCAGTTGAAAAGCTCGATCCCTATAGATAAGTGTTCACAAACCAATTAAAAACTTGCGCAGTTAAATACGAAAAATGCCTTATCAAAGTAATGTCCAGAGATATTTGTTTTCCATTAAATTGCGATGTCTCTAATTTCTCTTCTAAAACAAATTATTCATAATAAATCATTCGTCCAATTTTCCTCCTTTCCTAGACAAAAGTATCGTGATAATCGAAAGCGACAAAGTATGATGATTCTTCAATTTTCTATTTAGTTTCAACAAATTTAATTATGGTTACCTTCGTAGCTTCATACGCATGGTGGGCTTGACATGAATTATATATGCGTTTCAGTGCTGATAGTATATATCAGATTTCCCTAAATCGTTCGTATTATTGGCATGCGTTTTATCGTCTCTACGGTTCAATCAATACAAATGATATTAAATTGTAAGTCGGAAAGCACTTAACCCAGAACGCTGTTTGTAATTCTTTGGTGTCCTGGATCTGCCAGAGGAGAGTAATATATTTCTCAATATTTTGCGAATGCATATCATAATATTTTCTCGAAGTTGGGTATAAAAGTTAATTCAATTAGATGAACAAATAAGAGCAACAAGTCGGGGAAGGCCGACTATTGTATAACCTACGTCACTTCGACTAATACAGTTATTCACTCCTGCTAATAATATACCACAAGTTACACATTATTTTCATGCGAAGACATGAAAGCCCGCATGTTGGAGAAACTCTTGTATGCAGTGGTATGCAAAATATAGCAACGATAATATGAGAGAAGTTTCAAAAAACTGCCCCAGTCGAACCAAATTTTTTATGCCAATTTAGAATACATAAATACTATTACAGAATGAGTTTTGTCGACAAATTTTGAACATTGCATTTTGTTCCATGTAACGACATGCTGGTACAATGAAATTGAATAAGTGAAACAATAGAAATAAGTGTAAGAGAATTCCTTTGAAACCTCCCCATGTGCCCCATGTATGTTTGAAGAACTTTATGAAATGTGATATAGTTTGAAAAATTTCATTGTGAATTGAATTTTCTCCCTTTCGAAACAAAAAACTTGAAGAAAAAAGAAAACAATAATAATAATACTAATAAGAAGAAGAAGATGAGATTGCCTGCTTTCTGCTTCCGTTTGTTATTAAATTAGAACTTTACATTGGGTTTTCTATTGTTTTGCCTCCTTTTTTTTTGCCAGTTTTATTCAATT